GAATTATTTCTAGGAGTCTATTAATTCCAAAAATTCTAGACACAGAATTGCCAGGGAATGCTGGCCAGGCAAGAATTCCAAGAATTCTAATAATTCTTTTTTGATTATTCATTTTTTAAAGTAGTTCTAAGAATTTGATAAGTTCCAATTGGAATTATCAGAATTCCTAGAATGAGTTCTAAGAATTAGAATAATTCGAATTGGAATTGATAGAATTCCCAGAATTAATCGAAATATTCGAATCATATTAATTCCAATAATTCTAATTGGAATTCTGAGAATTATTGGAATTATTTCCAGGAGCTTTAAGAATCGATTCCTTGCCCCCCTGCTCGCACGGATCGTGCTCTAACCTCCAGGACACGCTCCCCATGTTTCAAAGCAACGCACGTGCAATAATTCTTAGAATTAAGTCTCGAAATTTCAAGAATTCTAATCAATCACTCCATGTTTCTCTCTTGGTCTCGCACACACGCACACACATTTAAACCCGAGGGGGGTCTCTGACTATTCGGGTTGGGCGCTCGCGTCCGCGGCTCGAGTGCGGTGATCGAGTCACACGGCAAATGGCTTCCCTCTAGAACCGAAAACGTACCCGACCATTCCCGTCTTCTTTCCCCACCCTTCCTTCCACAGTTAATAAAACTCAGGGTTTTACAGATAACCGTCTATACCCAAGAAATATTGACCCCATCCAAGAAGCATGATTTCTCTCACTCACTTATCTTTGTCTCATCTCTTTGTCCCTTCACCCGTCACTTTAGGTTGCTAGGAAGTGAGAATGGAGGGTGAAGGGGGTGACAGGTAGGAGATAAAGAGATGGGTGGTAGCAAAGGAATTATTGCCCCGCCTTATGGCATAGCTCCCGGAAATCCCATCCCTGACCAACTTCGCCTCGTCCGAGACAAGTAGAGAGGGAATCCCATCCCATTCCCTTCTTCTATCCCTACCCGGTCGTCTAAGGAAGGGAAAGAGTGGGCAATGGTCCATTCCTAATCCCACTATCCCCCATCGCTTGCTCTCGCATATCCATTCTTTCTCTCCGTTCATTTACCTAGCATGCGACTCCACGAGCTGACAGGTGGTGGAGAGAGGGAAGCGGACGGTTAGCCCGCAGTCACATGTAGACAAGATGTTGGTGGGTGAAAGAGTTAAAAAGCCCTTGGCTTCGTCATCCTGTTCCCTTTAATCTAATGCAAGTTGATGAGGGAATGGTATGAAGAGACGAAAGGATGAGATGAGATAATGAAAGCGAGCCCCTCTTCCTCCCTCGCCGAAGCAATTGGCAAGGGAAGAGGACAAGGAAGAGCGAGTCCATTCCCTTCGCCCACTCGCTTTCCTACGTCTGGGATAGATAGCGTGAACGCCATCCACAATATTTCCCTAATTAACAAGACAATGCTAGCATATGCTGAATTAACTCCTCATGTTACATAATTATAAACCTAAGAGGGGGCCAGGGAAAAAGTAAAAAACCATGCAATTCCTGAAAAATATTCTTCGACACGCAAATCATAAGATTTCGTGAGTAGTAGAACGAAAATATTTAGCACGACAATACTAGACTTCCTTTCTTTTCAGTTGTATCATTAGAATATTTGGCTTTTCTTTTTACTATGGTCTTTTTCTCAGTATGCAATGTCATCTTTATGCTTGTAACTCCTGTTAACAATCCCATATTCTGAGATCTTATAACAAATCTTTTGTTGTTTCTCTATGAGAAACTTTCCAAAATGTACGACGAGAGAATGGGAAGCCCTTCCAAACTGAGACAATGAACAAGAAGATGTGTTGAAAAGCAACCAAGGATTTCACAGATAACCGTCTAGACCAACAATTATTGAACACTAACTGTCAAGGAAAAAACGAAACCATCCAAGAGGCATTATGTCCCTCACAAACATTCACTCACTTATCTCTCTCTCTCATCTATTTATCCCTTCACCCGTCACCTTAGGTTGCTAGGAATTGAGACTGGAGGGTGAAGAGGGGGTGACAGGTAACAGATAAAGAGATGAATAGTAGTAAAGGAATTATTGCCCCGCCTCCATTCATATCTTATGGCATAGCTCGGGGATCCCATCCCTGACCAACTTCGCCTTGTCCATGCTTAAGAGGCGAGACAAATAGAGAGGGAAGCGGGGGGGGGGGATCCCATTCCCTTCTTCTATCCCTACCCTTCCTTCCATAGTTGGTAGTCTGTGGGTAAAAGAAGGAAGGGAAAGAGTATGAAGAGAAAGGGGTGGTGTGTGATGGAGAGATGAGAGCGGGCAATGGTTCATTCCTAATCCCGCTCTCTCCCGTCTCTCTATCCCATCGCTTTCTCTCGCATATCCACTCTTTCTCTCCGTTCACCTACCTAGCATGCGATTCCGCGAGCTGACAGGTGGTGGAGAGCGGGAAGCGGGGGACGGTTAGCCCGCAGTTAAAAAGCCCTTGACTTCGTCATCCTGTTCCCTTTAATCTAATGCAAGTTGATGAGGGAATAGTATGAAGAGACGAAAGGATAAGATGAGAGAATGAAAGCGAGCTCATGTCCCATCTCCTCTTCCCCTCTTCCTCCCTCGCAGAAGCAATTGGCAAGGGAAGAGGACAAGGAAGAGCGAGTCCATTCCCTTCGCTCGCTCGCTTTCCTACGTCTGGGATAGCGGTTAACCTTTGCATTTCCTTTCGCGCGCCATGAAGCCTCTCACTCCGGGGTTAGGGAATTGATGGACATGGTTGGTTCCTCAATTCTCAAACCGTTTTGTTAATTGTGGAACGAGAATTTTGCGAAATAAATGTCAAGAAATGTAAATCGCTTGTTTTCTTCATCCCCGTTCCTCGCTTTCAAATATCCTAGAAGTGAGAGTGGAAGAGTGAATGGAGGTGGACTGAGGGGATGCAGCTCTGTCTTCTCTTCCCAGCCCTCCCCAACGCTCGCTGTCTCTCCCTCACCTATCCACTGTTGATGGTTGATAGGCTTGGGAGTGGATCGGTGGCGAGGGAGTGAGTGTAAGTGTGTGTGTTCTCTCTCTCTCTCTCTCTCTCTCTCTCTCTCTCTCTCTCTCTCTCCTCTCTCTCTCTCTCTCTCTCTCTCTCTCTCTCTCTCTTTCTCTCTCTCTCTCTCTGTCTCTCTGTCTCTCTCTCTATCTTGTTCAGCGTCACCCTTTCCACTATCTTGTTACTTGTTGTAAAAAGGGAGATGTGAAGAGGATAGGAAAGGGGTGCGTCTCTCAGCCTAGTTTGAGGGAAGGGTCAGGAACACCGAAATCCAGTGTTGGGCCTGAGGCCAGCGCCAGACAGCCTGGCCAGCAGGCGGACTGGGCTGGGCTAGACGCTAGTTGAGCCCAGGCTGGTGAGGCCCAGTCTCGGCGCTAGATAGGCTGAGGCCTGCGAGTCTCAAACAGGGTGGGCTTGGGTGGGGTTGGCTTAGGCGGGTTGCTGGTTGGGCTGGGCCTGAAGCTAGTCTCAGCCACAAGGCTGCGAAGCCATGGGTGGGTTGCTGGCTGCTGGGCAGCCGGACTACGCTGTTGGTTGCGCCTGGAACTTCGGCTGGGCGGGCTGGGCTGAGCACATTGGGCGGGTCGCTGGATAAGACACGCCAGCAGGCGGGCTGAGGGACTGGGCCTGAGGCGAGTCTCAGGCTGGCATACTGAGACCAGTCTCAGACTGCGCCGAAGGGGCCTGGTCAGCCGGGCTGCTTAGTAGCTGGCATAGCTTGAGACCAGTCTCAGACACGGCACGCTGGGCTGAGCCTTGCCCTGAGATGCCGGGGCCTGGGCTGGGCAGGCTTTGGGCTGGGCCTGAAGCCATGGGGTTGCTGGCTGCCGGGCAGCCGGGCTGGGCGGGCTGGGCTGAGCACTTGGGCCTGAGGCTGGGTGGCAAGTTGCTGGCTGGCTGAGGCCAGTCGCAGACACGTAAGACACGAGCAGGCGGGCTGAGGGACTGGGCCTGAGGCTAGTCTCAGGCTGGCATACTTTGAGACCAGTCTCAGACTGCGCCGAACTGCTGGATGACTTGGGGCCAGACGCGAGCAGGAGGTCAAGGCCTGGCCAGCCTGGGCTGAGTTGCTTGGGCAGCCGGACTGAGGGGCTGGGGCGCGTCAGACAGGCTTAGTAGTAGCTGGCATATCTTAGACCAGTTTTTCAGACACGCTGTTGGCCTGAGGCCAGTCTCGACACGTCAGACAAACCTGACCTTGGCACGCTGGGCTGAGGGTGGTGGGCCTGTTTCAGACAAGCTTGGGCCTGAGGCTGGGTGGGCTGGGCTGACAGGCCTGGCCAGCAGGCGGGTTGCTGGTTGGGCTGGGCCTGAGCCTAGTCTCAGACACGTCAGACAGGCCTGGCCACGGAGGTCATGCTTTTCAGGCGGAGGGGGGGGGGAAAAGCGAAGATTCTCTTTGGAGAAGAGATCTGAGCGCCCTTGGCCCCTTTGGGGCCGAGGCGAATATCCTTTCCCATTCCTCCAATTTTCAAGATTCCTGAATGGGGTTGGATAAGGAAATGGGAGAGGCTAACCTCATCCCGTTCCTACGTCTGAGATTGCGGTTAAGCTTCTTTTGCTTTCGCACACCGCAACCGCATGTCTTAATCAAGGGTTTCATGGCGGGGCAATCCCAAGAGCAAGAGCTTCCTTGATTGGCGGTTGAACTCAGAGAACGATTTGCGAGCGCGCCCTCAACCTTCAGCCTCTCTTTCCTCTCCCCATCCGCCTCAGTCTTCTCTGTGAGGCATGAAGGGGCGGGATGAAGAGAGAGGGTCAAGTCAGGACAAGAGCTGAATGGACAAATGTTCCTAAAAGGTCCCTGCCACATATATATATATATATATATAGGTATATAAGAATGTATGTACACGATGCAGTGGCAGCGAACCTGGGAGGATCAAACAGGGATCCTAACCACCCTCACGGTGGTCAGGGACACCCGTAACTTTGAGATCAATGCAATCACCGTCAGAGGTCTTGGGAATCCCTCATGCGACTTGGGACTCTGGAGGCTTCCAGCTTTGCGCACGCAGGCCGACAACTGCCCGTATGCTCACAGCGAGGAGGATCTCCGATCCACGGACTTTTTCTACAAAAAGAGGCCGGCGGCAAATGGGTGCATGTCATGGTGAACTGTTTGAAGCAAAGCTCACAAGGCACGTCTCTTTTGACGGTCCCCCGTTTGGAGAAGCTCTCAAATGAGCTTATCTCAGAATTAGGGGACAAAATGAGATGGCAAGTGCGTGTCATGCCTGCGGAAATGGGTATGTGTCAAAAGCAGGCAACCTCCCAAAAAACAAACGCGTCCTGGCCGAACCGGAGGCAAAGCAGACAAGTAGAAATCAGAAAGTAAACAAGTAGAGAAAAAAATGAGAGAAGTAGAGAAGCCAGAAACAGTTTGAAAAGCAGTAGAAAGGAAAGTAAGCAACATGCGAAGAGTAGAAAAGTGAGGAAAGTAGAAGAGTAGAAAAGGATGAAATAGGAAAGGCAGAAGCAACTTGCAACTTTTGATTTTTCAACTTTTTGATTCTCATTATTTATATTTTTTTAGTCGACTTCAAGACTTCTGGCTTTTCCATTGTTTTCAGCTGTTCGACTTTTGACCTTTCGACTGTTCGAATTTTCGACCTTGCGACTTTGCGAATCGGCTTTTAAACTGTTCGACCTTTCGACTTCTTGCATTTTTGACTTCTTCCAACTTTTTGAGATTTCGGCTTGTCCCCAGCCTCAGCCTTTAGGCGCGTGATTTTTTTGGGATTGGTCATACTGCCACCTTTGATTTTTCAGTGCCATACTGGTATTTAGAATATGGAAGTCCGTCTCTTATTGCAGTTCAAATGTGGTGTTTCTGAAAAAGGCAAAATTGTAGCAACAGGGGATCCCTGAAATCGATCCTTTCCACAGAGTCCACCCGTGGCTGAACTTAGATTTCCGTATCTTTGGCGTACTTGTGCGTGAGAAATGAGATGTATTACAAAGATGCATATGAAGTATATACATGCTCTTGGAGGCTGCCCTTTCATCCGGATTGAAAGGGATACCACACCTCTATTCAGCTTCCCTCTGAGTGGCGGTTTGGGCTGGTTTGGAGGTTGCGGGGTTTCCCATTCACCTTGACAAGAACCACCAATCCAATCCAAACCACAACAAAAGGAAGGGCAACCTGATCTACCTTTGTCGGGCCCAGAGTGCCCTCTTGCCAGGCTGTGCTTGTGGCACCAGAAGGCTGGCACCGAGAAAGACCCCAAACTGCCCCAGTGGCCTCCTTTTGAATGAATCTCAAATGGTTCCCTACTTAGAGAAGTACCGGTTCCAAATTGCCTTATCCAAGGGAAAAGCAGCCATGTTGGCCTCCGAAAGTCTCCCCCGCTCCATGTTGAGCCTCCGAATCGTGCTGGCCCATCTGCGGCTTGCTCTTCGGGGCTACATTTTCCTCGCTCAATCTGAGCTCCGAATGCTCCAGGGACGCTGTCGCAACGGCGAGCAGTGCCGTTTCGCACATGGCAATGCAGAGCTCAGGACAGGGTTGCAGCTGGAAACGGGAAGCCGTGGAGCATTTTGACCTGACTGGGCCATGTTCTGCTGAATCACGGAGTTTGTCTCTCCAGATCGAAGGAAGCCACCATTTGACCATTTGGGGGAGGTGGACGTGGGAATTCGTGACGTGAATCAATCAGCACCTCTGCCAGATTGAGCGGTGGGGTGTCAAATAATACACTGTTTGTTGGGGGCAACACAGGCTCCTCAACAGTTTGCAGGCCTTGGGCTGAAGACAGGCCAAGTAATTAGTCGATTTGGCATCACCCTGCTATATGTGATAGAGTTTTGCCAAGTCGCTTTTCAAAATTGGTCAACCAACAAAATGCGGGTTTCCTTGTGGTTCCCTGTCAACAAACAAACCAAACAAATCTCACAACAGCGCTGGGCCTGGGTTTCCGTTTGCTTCCAGGGCGCACACCCACATGCGCCAGCAGAAATCAGTGGATGCTCTGAACGCAGGCCTGGTCTTTTTCTTTTGTCCATGAAAGCGTAGCGTTGTTGGCGCAATTTTTTGTACTGAAAGTTTCGGATGACGTTCATTCGCTTGGGTTGAGCCTCAGCGCACAAGATTTGGCATTTGTCCTATGCAAAATCAACAGCGGGGTAAGATAAGGAACTGTCGCCATGGGCGCAAAGGGACATGCAAAAAGAAGAGGAATCAGGAATTCCATGAGGTTTTCAGGTTCCGTCTTCATCTGCTCTGATGTGATTCCCGCGTTTGATGACTCGCGTGTTGCTCTCTATGTGACAGGCTCCCAGAGCTCGCGGGCCCGGCTCTTTGCGGAGTTCGGGCCGTCTGGTGACTCGAGATTGTCTCTTTCTTCTTCTTTCTCACCATGCGCATTTGGGTGTCCTTAAGTACCAACCAAAAGGGTCCACATTTTGAGAAACTCCCGTTCTTGGGCTTCATGAGGGAGGAAGGATTGTTGCAAAGGTCGGGGTTACTGCAGTCTTTCTTAAAGTTTTCCAGCTACTATCGCAGCTTGCTTGTGTCGCCACTTCTCTTGGGAACTCTGAGACATGATGGACCAATCACCGATGCAAAACAGACCCATCTGCGCAACGGTGACCCACATGTACCACCTGTGTCGTTCTAGCCCCGATGTCTTTTCTCGTGGATCTGGCCAGGCATAGCCAGAGCAGCTACTCTCAGGCATGCTCCTGGCACCAGCTTGGAGATGTGTTTCTGCGGGCTATCAAAGTCAGATACCGGGGGTGTTTCCCGTGAACCTGCCCATTGACAATGAGATCGTGGGGCCAGTGATATGACAATGGCAACATCCGAGCCTTGCTTCAAGATCGGTCGGGGGTCTGTTAGACCATGTGTACAGGCTTATTGGGGATGGTCTTTGAGCGGTGCGACATGTGCGCAGGATCCTGGGCAAAGTGGATGCCCCAGCTTGCCTATGTACGTAGCGGCATAAGACACAAATCAGCTTTCCTGCAATGGAGATTTGGAGCAGTGGAAGGTTTACCGGGCAATGCTGGAATATTGACCTGGCGTTACCAGCTTGTTTGCAGAATAGCCCCTTAAGGCAACTTACTCTTTTTTTGGACAGGGGGTGTCAATGCACCCGTCGGATGAAACTGTATGACTGCTTGACAAGCCACCAATCCCAACCGCAGGACATTTTTCCAGCCAAAAGAGGATTGATGAGTCTCGCTTTTTGCAAGGATCTAGGGACAACTAGACCTAGTAAAACCCAGACCTGGCAAAAAGCCAGACAAGAGTCTCTACCACAAAATCCCGCTTCGGATGCTCCCAGGCTCAGCTTCAGGCAGCCCCTGGGCTGAGGCACCTCGGGGTGTTTGGGTCGGAATCGCTGCCTGATGCGCAACATGTGGTGATGGCCCGCAAAACAAGTAAGAGGGTGCTCAGTGAATGCCAGGCAAGAACAAGCAAGTGGAATCTGCAGGGTCTTAATTGTTTTGGAAACTGGAATACTGCAAGAGATCGCCACTGCTGCCATATTGAACGCACCGCGCCATATCTCGCAGATGTTGTCTTACACAAGACTAGTTGCTGACGTTGTTTTCTCTCAGAGTTTTTCATTCAGGTTTCTGTCGCCTGACCAGACCCTGGCGAGCCTTGGCTTGGGACATTGCCTCGCATCCTGCCCATCTTGTCCGGGCCACCGCCTTTGCAAATTCCATTTGTGCCTTTCGTCGTTTGCTTGCCACCACTTCTCGCAAGACTGCGTTGCGCGATGACACCAGTTGAGCAGCAAGGTTGCATTGCAAACATACACGTGGCCGAGGATTTCCAGTATTTGTTAATTCCTCCATCGTGTGCTGCTAGCCTCGGATGACTTGGATAAGCTGGATGACTTGGATGCAAGCTTCGAGAAGCACCCATGGGTGCCCTTCCATGTAAACCGAAAAGGCCCCCGATTGGTTTGGGCCAGGCAGGCGCTTTTCAGAACCAGGAGGACTCCATTCAGCTGGGAGCCCGGTTCCGCACTTTGGTGAGAAACCAGTGAGGTCAAGCGAGCTTCCATGCACTCCTTTTTCTGCATATTTTTTGACAAGGCCAGACAAATAAATCTACAGCAAGATGGCAACCGCATCGAAGCACCATTGACTGTGTTTTTTGCCCTCGAAGAATCCTTCAATGCATGATAGGTCAGTCTGACGATGAGCTGACGATTGATACTTGCATTGCAGAGGCACTGAATGAGCCATATGCAGGATGGGATGGCAAGTTGCTCTCGGCTTTCTGGAGAAGGGAGCACAGAGCGGTACTTGCTGCTGTGAATGCATGCCAGCTATGGCAGACAACACAGTGGATGGTGTAAGGGACATGTGTGCCAGTGAAGAATCCTTCAATGCATGATAGGTCAGTCTGACGATGAGCTGACGATTGATACTTGCATTGCAGAGGCACTGAATGAGCCATATGCAGGATGGGCTGGCAAGTTGCTTTCGGCTTTCTGGAGAAGGGAGCACAGAGCGGTACTTGCTGCTGTGAATGCATGCCAGCTATGGCAGACAACGCAGTGGATGGTGTAAGGGACATGTGTGCCAGTGACGAATCCTTCAATGCATGATAGGTCAGTCTGACGATGAGCTGACGATTGATACTTGCATTGCAGAGGCACTGAATGAGCCATATGCAGGATGGGCTGGCAAGTTGCTTTCGGCTTTTTGGAGCGGTACTTGCTGCTGTGAATGCATGCCAGCTATGGCAGACAACACAGTGGATGGTGTAAGGGACATGTGTGCCAGTGAAGAATCCTTCAATGCATGATAGGTCAGTCTGACGATGAGCTGACGATTGATACTTGCATGGCAGAGGCACTGAATGAGCCACATGCAGGATGGGCCGGCAAGTTGCTTTCGGCTTTCTGGAGAAAGGGAGCACAGAGCAGTACTTGCAGCTGTGAATGCATGCCAGCTATGGCAGACCACACAGCGGATGGTGTAAGGGACATGTGTGCCAGTGAAGAATCCTTCAACGCATGATAGGTCAGTCTGACGATGAGCTGACGATTGATACTTGCATGGCAGAGGCACTGAATGAGCCATGCAGGATGGGATGGCAAGTTGCTCTCGGCTTTCTGGAGAAGGGAGCACAGAGCGGTACTTGCAGCTGTGAATGCATGCCAGCTATGGCAGACAACACAGTGGATGGTGTAAGGGACATGTGTGCCAGTGAAGAATCCTTCAATGCATGATAGGTCAGTCTGACGATGAGCTGACGATTGATACTTGCATGGCAGAGGCACTGAATGAGCCATATGCAGGATGGGATGGCAAGTTGCTCTCGGCTTTCTGGAGAAGGGAGCTGACGATGAGCTGACGATTGATACTTGCATTGCAGAGGCACTGAATGAGCCATATGCAGGATGGGATGGCAAGTTGCTTTCGGCTTTCTGGAGAAGGGAGAACAGAGCGGTACTTGCAGCTGTGAATGCATGCCAGCTATGGCAGACCACACAGCGGATGGTGTAAGGGACATGTGTGCCAGTGAAGAATCCTTCAACGCATGATAGGTCAGTCTGACGATGAGCTGACGATTGATACTTGCATGGCAGAGGCACTGAATGAGCCATATGCAGGATGGGATGGCAAGTTGATCTCGGCTTTCTGGAGAAGGGAGCACAGAGCGGTACTTGCTGCTGTGAATGCATGCCAGCTATGGCAGACAACACAGTGGATGGTGTAAGGGACATGTGTGCCAGTGAAGAATCCTTCAATGCATGATAGGTCAGTCTGACGATGAGCTGACGATTGATACTTGCATGGCAGAGGCACTGAATGAGCCATATGCAGGATGGGATGGCAAGTTGCTCTCGGCTTTCTGGAGAAGGGAGCTGACGATGAGCTGACGATTGATACTTGCATTGCAGAGGCACTGAATGAGCCATATGCAGGATGGGATGGCAAGTTGCTTTCGGCTTTCTGGAGAAGGGAGAACAGAGCGGTACTTGCAGCTGTGAATGCATGCCAGCTATGGCAGACAACACAGCGCGATGGTGTAAGGGACATGTGTTCCAGTGAAGAATCCTTCAATGCATGATAGGTCGGTCTGACGATGAGCTGACGATTGATACTTGCATGGCAGAGGCACTGAATGAGCCATATGCAGGATGGGATGGCAAGTTGCTCTCGGCTTTCTGGAGAAGGGAGCACAGAGCGGTACTTGCAGCTGTGAATGCATGCCAGCTATGGCAGACAACACAGTGGATGGTGTAAGGGACATTTGTGTCTGGGACATTTGACTGTTGTGTCGCAAACGAGGTCTGTGGTTCGTCGAATTCAGGCAGAGGCCGGAGCGGAGTAGTTGCGGTGGCAGGAGCAGAGGGCAGGGCGATCTTTGTTAGAGTTTTTTGCTGCATGTTTTGGATTCTTTGTTTTGCGGTTCTTCACAGAGAGTCACTGCAGCTGCCTTGTATTCAGTGAACCTTGGAGCAATTTTTGCGGTTCCAAATTTTGTTTGCTTCAAGGCAGACAGAATCTACCAAGAGGTTCCACTTGTGGAAATCAACTACCCCTGGGTTGAAGTGCAACACTTGGAGTAGTCAGTTTCCCTTTTAACACTTGCCAAAAACAGATCTGTTACTTTTGAAACCCCCCTAAAGGAGAACTCAACGACTTGGAGCCCAGATGAAATCGCCCCAGACGACTTGGGGTGGGGTTTTGTTTTGTTGGAGTACCTTTTTTAGTTTGGAGTCAAGGGGAACGAAAAGGAAAACCACCATTTTGGGGGTCCTCCAATGCTGGGCTCTTCGTAGGGCTACTTGCCAGGTCATGCAGCAGCAGCCTCCCGAGCCGCCTGCCCTGCCAAGGTTAAGCGCTGAGAGACTTGGTCATTGTATGGGGGACATGTTTGCTCGCCCCTTGATAAAAATGGAATTGGGGGAGGGCATAACCCCTGGGGCGACCTGCCACCCCCCCCCACCACCCCCCTTAGGGAGGTGTTTTGTTGTTTTTCCCGCTCCATGACCTAGTTTTTGGACCTTCGTTTCTTGCCTTCTGGTTTATGGGCCCAAAAGCGATGCTTGGGTCCCATGTTGAGAATGCAACAGTGCGCCATAGGACCCGATTCGTGCAACTCTGGGCCAGCTGTGGCAGGCTGATTTAGTTCAGGTACCCCTTTATTTGTTTGGGGGTTTCAACCCCTCCCTATTGCAATGCGGGAAGTTCCCAAGCTCCAAACCACCAATCCAAGGCACCAAGAGCAAGGTGGGATAGGTCCGAGGGCGACCATCTGAACCAAGGGAGCTGTCACGGCCTCAGACGGCGCGGTCTCTTTTTTGGTATGGACGGGTTTCCCCACCCTCTGCCCCGAACAATGGAAGTTGTCCCGAGCTCGGGACCTCTCTGCCAGGACGCAGGACTTGGAGCTCCAGCAGAAGCTTCTGCTGTTGTTGCAGCTCAAGGCTGGGCTTTCTGAGCCATTCCCCCCGTTTTTTTGACTGGAGGTACGGTGTGCAAGCACCAGAAGGAAGCCAAGCATGTTGGTATATCAGTGATGGGCAATGTTCACCATCATTTACGGACTGGCATTGGGGTGCTTGCAGGCTTGCTGTTGCAATACACGCCTTGCAGCATACTTTGATTCACGAGCAGCAAGGTACATTCACCGACAACCAGCCCGACTTTTTTCACACCATGCTATGTCTCTAGTGCAAGAAGTCTGCTTCCGGCTCTACTATTGCGAAGCATTTGTTGCATTCTTCTTCCTGGACGGATGTGAATCTTGGCCTGGATTGCAATGCACGCTAGCTCCTTTCCATTGCAATTGCAGTTTTGGCCTTCTGCGTTTTTGGCTCGCCATTATTGATGCAATGTCGTTAAACGCGATGTGCCTTTTGCCTCGTTATGTTTGTTTATAGCATTCAATGCATCATACTGGCACAAGGCTTCAAGCTTAGATATGTCCCAGCGGTCAGATTTTCCTTCCCTCCGAGATTTGTACTGCATAGCATCGGCCACCCGATCTTGAATCCTGAAGGGAAGGGGTTGCAAGTGTAAAGGTAGGGCTGGGCTCCATACAGAGTTCTGAGGTTTGAGGTGGCTGGAGTCTCCTAAATTTTGAGCAGATCACTCGCCGGGTTAAAACATCATGTCTGAGATGCGCGGTCTCTTTTTTTGCCGCCGTCGCTTGTCTACATGGAAGTGCCACTCGTGAGGCTCAGGTGGAGGCTGCGCAGAAGTTAGAGGCGGGTTCGCTACAGAAGCATCACCCCGCTGAAATTCCATTTTAGTTTTTTTTGGTGTGGGAGAGCAAACCCGAGAGCTGACTTGCAGAGACTGTGGCCTTAGCTGTTCGATCCGTGCTTCGCGCAGGGCCAAGACCTCTCAGGAATTGATCAGCCGCGCCTTCAGATGCCGTAGACGGATGGCAGGGGAGTTTGTTGCAAGTTTTGTTCGAAGTATTTTCATGGACGTAGAATGTGGTCTATTTGATATCAAGGCTCCTTCGCTCCCAACGCGCGACGGGGCGCTTCCACCGTTTGTACAAACCCTTTGCACACGGGAACGTGGGAAGATAGTTGCGCAGACGAGAACTTGTGCAGACCAGGCTTGCAAGAAGGGTTGCACAAACTCTGCACCTGCGAATCCCATCAGACCCCAAACCGGTTCGCAGCATTGAAACCCCCGAGCCAGCTGAGGTTTCCTCCAGTTCCACAGGTCACACATCCTGCCTTAGGCACGCGCCCAGGAGGAGTTTCGACCACTTCCATGCGACATATGGGTTCTGAAAATGGGGAACCAAAAGGAAGCCGTTGTCACTTGGAAGACAACTCTTTGGAAAGTAATAGGGGTGGGAACCCTCAAAGTTGGTGGTTTCTCTTTGAGTCGAAGAACCAAGAGAGACGCCCAAATGGGCAACCAGGCTTTCCAGAACCTATGGGATTGGCATTCTCTACGTTGAAACGGTGGTCGCAGTGATCCGAGGCCCAATGCCAGCAGTTCCTTTGCAAGCAAGCGTCTCAGAGCGAGACACTGTCCAAGCGCGAAGATGGGCAAGGTTTTGCCCAAAAGCGGTTTACCCAAGTGGTTTTCGGCAGCAGGTAGGGGAAGGTCTTGGCCAAGAGCGGCACGCGAATTTCCGGAGCATTGGGGTTCGTTGGGGCCAAAGCGCGCTCGGAAGCGAGGCGACTATTTCATCCCTCTCCGAGAATCTTGCCTTGCTGGCCCGGCAGCTGAACGACTTGGAGCACCTGGCAAGGCGATCGTGTTGTTTGATGGGCAGCGGCTCCTGTGGTCCTATGATGCTTTGCTATGTGTTATCTTGCCAGCTTTGACTCAAAGTTTGGCTCAAGGAATTGCTTGCCGACGTTTTTCATCCATTCAGTTTCTTCAGCTGAGTAAGTAGCAGACTGGCTTGAGGGAGAGCTTCGCTTTGGCGATGTCTTTGCCACACTGCAACCTTGGAGTTCATCGTCCCTTTTGTTTTGGCTGGGCCGAGTTCCTTTGTCATTCCGACTGGCAAGACATGTGCTCATGCAGCGTGAGGTTGCGTTTGTACGGCATTTGGGCTGGGTCCATGTGTCGGCCCTGTTTCCCCTCTTCGCAAACGGACCTGTTGAACAGCCTCCGCAATTGGATATGCCTAAGTTTCATCTGGCGTTTATTCGCTATACAATCTTTCACTATGTGCCACGTGCGAATCCTGGGATCGCAAGCGCGTTCAATGATCTTCGCCTATGCAACATTTCGCGGAAGGCGCGGTACTTTGGGCTGGGGACAGGATGGCAGGCGCAGGGAAAAGATGCACTGAGCAGGTGCGGTACTTTGGGCGGGGGAATGCGGAGAGGAAGCTGGATTTTGTGGCAGGCGCAGTACCTTGGATGGACTGATATGTGGGGGAGGCTGATTCTCGTCGCATACGCGGTACTTTGAGCGGAGCCTCAATTTCGTGGCAGGCGCCGTATTTCAGACGGATTGATACGTGCGCGAAATTGAATGGCAGGCACGCCTTGGGCTTGCGAGCGCGGAGCGGAAGCTGGGTTTTGTGGGAGGTGCCGTATCTTTTGTGGACAGATACATGATGAAGGGTAATCTCTGATGGGCCCTCACACGTGGGCTTCAACGGGCATGGGAGAGAAGAAGTGTGTGGATGCGGGGGCGCGGGGGGAGCGAACAGTTGTGGCCATGAGTTGCTAAGCAGATGCAGTGCTCTTGCGCTTTCCTCGAGCGTAAAAGTCTTTGTTTGATTTGTTAGCACTTCTTCCCCCTTTGAAGAGGTTTGGGCTGGCGTTGGTTTGGGGCGCCTTCCCCTCCCCCCTTCCGCAAGCAAACCAGAACATAGCGCGCCCGCGCAGCAATGACCAGCCTCCTTCCCCTGCAAACAACCCAGGGTGCGCGCGCGCAGGCTCCCATGCATGATAGCGCACCGCAGCGGCGCATTTGTGAATGAGCGATAGTCCTCTGATCGCTAGACCGGCCCATTCAATCATGGGACTGCCGGCGCATTCAATCGAGCCTTCTGCACCTTGTGTAGTATCGCATGAAGTAGCGTGCACTGTGCCCAGGGTTCGGCCACTTGTTTAAGCGTTTTCCAGCGCCTCGCGTTTAAACAGTCTCCTTTAGGTTTGTTTGCATGGGAACCGCGGTTTGGTTGTTTTTTGAACGAAGAAGCCGTGCCCATCTAGATCAACCATTTTTGCGCTCAGGCGTCAGCAGATGATGCCCAACCCCGACGTGACCGGGCAGGTTCGGCAGCAAAACTGGCTTTAGGCAACTGCTTTTTACATACTGCGCGCTCCTGAAGGAAATGCCAAGAAAGCAGGGGTGTCCCTTGGTTCCCCTATTTCCAAGTTGAACAGGATACTGAGCTGACGGCCCCAAGTCAAGTTAAGACATGGGGTCACTGGTTGGTCAAACAAGCAAAACCTGGTGCAGTCCCTAGGGAAACCCAAAAAAGGTAGGTCGCGATAAACTCCTTGCCCAAACCATGGTTTAAAGCCACCAAATTCTTAACAAGTTATCAACCATAGTGGTAAAAGCCATGGATCAAGCAAGGGTATGGCACAATTTTGGTGGAAGCTGAGGGAAGTGTCAAGTGCTCTCGCCAGTTGCAAGAGTTGCTCCTCCAGCAGCAGCAACAACAGCACAGTTTGCTGCAGCAATCCCGGGCGGGGGCCCCCGACAAATCGGCTCATCCGTTCGGGCCGAAGAGAGGGAGCTTTTTGTTGTTGTTGCATGTTTGGAATTTCACTCGAACCCAAAGGCGACCAACACGGGGGCCACATGTTTGGAAAAGCAACCTTGCACGTGTTTGAGGTTTGATACAGGGTTGGCTCCTTTTGCGGATATGGACTTGCATAGGGTTGGACAGGCAGGGTCCCTTTTGATTGGTTGCGACTGAAGAGAAAGCCTGGGGGTTCCGTTTTTGGAGTGACCCAGCATCAGAACTCGGGTAGATGATCGGAAGATGAAGGGTCAAGAAATTGATGCGGATATCCGCCTTTTTGCTTCTTTACAATCGGTTTTGGATAGTGCCAGGTTTTGATTGCGACTCAGATTTGCGATGGTCAACAACCTAGATGAACATACACCCCTTACCAAGGAATTTCGGGAACTATGACCATGACCCACCTAAGGTTTTAAGGAGTTTTGACAATGGCACAGGGAAGGTTCAGTCCATTCTTTTTGATTGGTCAAAACCAGCAATCCATGTGAATCTGACATGACAAAGCGAGAGTTCCTCAGGTGTGCAAAGGGCCCTCACGGAGTGGCCTTATTGCTCGTAGTTACCAAAGGGTTCACGAGGCTCTGTCCAAATGTGCATTGGGAAATCATTCTATGCCAGTGCTTGGTCGGCGTCGGCATTTCCAGGACTCTATCCATGGTCAACATGGCGGGTGCTTGGGGGGGGGGATTCTTGCAAACAAGCACCACACAAACCATGTACGAAGGTGTTTTGTTTCCAGAGGTTTAGATCAAGGCGAAGCAAGTCTAAGTGGGCCTGAGTGGCGGCTGCTTGGCCGAAAACCAACGGCCATGGCACACGGAAAAGGAGGTTGGAGCTTCTTTTTGAGAGAAAGAAGGGATCCACCAAATGCTTGGCCATGGCCCTGGCTCAGGCCCTGGCCCCTGACGCCATGATGAGGCCAAGCAGCTTTCTTCCCCGCGAGTCTGCAGCTATTTCACTGAGTTTCGAGGGATTCCGCCGAAAAAGGAGGGGGGGGTGCTGGTAAGCCATGATGTGGGTCCTGTACGTGGGGATCCGAGTCTTATTTCAGATTTTGGAGTATTGGTGAATTTGCAGAGAAGGAGTCACCACCGTGCGGCTTCCTTCATGTCTGTGCAAGGCGTCCCGACCAGATCTGGGTTGCTTGTGGATCCCTCACTTGACATCGCAGATCCAAGTTTGTATAGTTCTCCAACTTGGAGAGAGGAGAACCTCACAGGAGGGCACTTCACTGGCCTAACCTGGCTTTGGTCTAGGCTCTCCATTCAAGGAATGTCAGGGCAAGGCAGAATCTTGCTGTTCATCCCTCGGACGCTCCGTCCACAAGTTGCCCGTCACAGGCCCTTCTCGGACTTTGGGTCCCTCCCGCCTCACCGCCATGATTCGGGAGCTGATTGAGAAATTTGGCAGAATGGCTCTCAAATGGTCCGTAGGGTTGTGCCCTAGACACAGGTTGGTTTTCTCTCGGTTTCCCTGTAAATACCAAACGCAAGGACAGTTTTGGACCCGCTTGTGGTTTGAGACCCGAGATACTTTTCGTATTCGATTTGCTGGTGGATTTGGATGCGCTCCCCACAAAGGAAGGGTCAAAGTGCAACGCTTTCTTGACTTAAGCGAGCTATTTGCTTGCCTTGGTCACCTTTGCAAGCTTGAGCCATGTGGGTGTTTCCCAAATAGGGGCCCTAAATTGGCAACGCTTCTCTTTCGGTTTCAACCAAGAAATGCGCTAGAATATTGGTTCCAAAAACCCTAGAATGTTTGGTTCCAACCAACAGGGTATTTTCAGCTCTCTGTGAACGACATATGCCAAAGCAAGCAAGGAAAAGGAGGCGCTTGGCAGGTCCTGGAGTCGCGACGCGGCCAGCCTCGGACCCTGGCTGGACCTACCTTTGCAGTCTTTTGAGGGTACCAGTTTTCAGGTTGGTTTGAAGCAACAACAGGAAACTGCCATTTGGGGAGTTGCCCATATTAACGCATACCCTTCTCAAGACGGTTTGGAGAGTTTGGAGTCCCCACATCATGAGAATGGCACCCTCCCTACCCACGGCGACCAACACAAGTGAGCATTTTGGGTCGACCTTACCGTGAGCTTTTTTTCTTGGTTGGAATTTCCAGTTCATTGTTAGCTCACCACAAACAAGCACGAAAAAGCATATGCCGTATACCCGCTTTCGACATTTCGTTGGTCATTTTCCACAAATTCCTTCGATGCTGGGGTTCCGCTGTAGGTTTTGACGCCGGGGGGTGCAACACAAAACTGTAGCAATTGTTTCTACGCATGAGACGAAGGGTGCAAGGGCTGGGGCCTAATTGCAGTGGGCTCAAGACTGGTGTGAGACGTGAAGAATTGGATGGAGTGTGGGCGGGGAGTGCGAGATAGGCAACGCGTGAGTGAGAAGGTGGGACGGGTAGGATGGGTGGCGGGGTGGAGGGGGAGGGGATTGCGAGGTGTGTGCTTTCGAGCGTGTGATTGTGCAAGGATTTTCGGCTGGCTTGCTTGCTGGGACTCTAGACCGCAAGCACGCCGTGCCATAGGGCTCAGTCCTCCCCCTGTTGCACAGCTCGCAGTTTTGTAAGATTCGCTTCGGGCGCCCTTTTTCTGGAAGTCTGGGCACTGGCCGTTTTGCCGAGGCTCTGGCTACCGGGGGGCCTGACAAAAAGGTTCGGAGGCTGGGCTGGCTTTGCGGAGTCTACTTGCGGCCAAAGGCTTAGCTCAGGGTAAGTCTGGGGCAGCCAACAGGCAGAAACATGCTTAGGGACAAAGGTCTAGATTTGAGCGAAGACAAAGCTAGCAACTTAGAAGGTCACTCTGAATGCGGAAGGAGCACTTCATGGCTGGCCCCCTTTTTCACATGGCCCCCCCTGCGCGTATCTTTTTGAGGTCGCTATTTCGGAGTTAGTTTCAGGGGACACCAAACAGAAAACACCACCATTTGGAGTCCTCTATTTTAAGCCACGCCAGTGAAATGGATGGGATTGGCTGAGTTTGCCAATCTAAGTTTTTGCTTGGATTTCATCACTTCCACTTCTTGCTTACCCCGTCGGCCATGATACCAATAACAGCACCCGGGCCGTAGGCAACGGCGTACTTCGATCGAGCGGCCGGAACTGACGCTGCTATTCCGTTGGACTCATCCCGGCATTTAGGATGTGGATCAAAGGCTGGCGAAAAGTAGTGCAGTCGATGCAACATCTCTTTGGCACCTAATCCGATCCCATTTTGAACCGTTCCAGCTGCCCTGGATGGTTTTTCACAGGGCGGCAGGGCCTTGCAACATGGCAGAAACTGCCACTGTGCAGCTTGGAAATGTTGTGGGATGTTTTCATGCTCCAGGATGCTTAAAGTTGAACTTTTTGAGCGTGGCGCTGTGGCTCGCACGGACTGCTGTTGAGACCTCACCCTCTCACCTCAGGGCAACTGATAGCTTGGGCTAAGACCGCGACGTTTTGCTGTTCTGATTTTCTCCTTTGTAATTTTCGTGGGAACCAAGCAAACATGGGATTCATGCTGACCCAGGAAACAGTGAAGTGGGTATCCGAGACAGGGGGTGAGGAAGGCGCCACGCTTGCCTCAAGTGGTCCGGCCATGTGAAATGGGCCCCTTGGTCCCTTGGCCGGTTGGCCACTGGCCAAAGCTTTGGAGGCGAAAACAAGCCTCTCTTGCACGACCACACGCCTTCGGGGAATGCAACACCAATTCCATTCCTAAATTTGGAAAGGACTCGATGCCGGTAATGTGAGTTGTGTTTTCAGGCGTGCCCGTTTCTCTCTTTTATGTACGAAGGGTCGGCTGAAAGGCAACAAAAGGGACACCACGTATTGCAAAGCGGGGTCCCAATACTTTGGCAAAATCGCAAGCCTGGTTGGGAACCCTTGCTTCACTGGAAGGTTGGGAGCGACAGGCAGTATTCTCTGGGGGCCTGGTTGGTGATTGTTCGGTTTGGCGAGGTCTTAATGCGGGCGGGTCTTGGGTTTGTTTGGGGTTCATTTGGGCTCGACAAAGGGCTGATATCCAGGATGCTGTTGGGAAGTTTTAATGTTGACTTTGGGTCGGTTTGGGTTGGTTAGGGGCTGTTGCGCGGCTGGTTTAGCAGTGGCTTTAGGGTTGCTGATGTGGTTACGCGAGTTTTGGGCTGGTGCTCACGGTTCGGGGCAAGGCCCCACAACCCAGCCCAAAACTTGCGTTTGAAGCAGCCCAAAAGCTACTGCTAAAAAAGAGGCGCACACCTAGCGCAAATCAGCTCCAAGCCAACCCAAACTAACGCAAAGTCACCAACCGTCACACCACCTCCCTCTCCTGGATATCAGCCCTTTGCCGAGCCCAAATGAACCCCAAACAATCTCAAGACCCGCCTTCATGAGAACCTGAGCAAGCCCACACTCACCCAAAACCAGCCCTTTGAACTGCCGGCAAATCAAAGCCAATAGGCAGCCCAATTCTAAGTGAGGCTCGTGATGCTGGGGATGCGGGCGCCCAGCCAACCAACCAACCAGCCAACCAACCAAGCAACCAAGCAACCAAGCAACCAAGCAACCAAGCAACCAGCCAGCCAGCCAGCCAGCCAACCAACCAACCAACCAACCAACCAACCAGCCCCCTGGCCGGGGGTAAGCCCCGAGCCAGGGCTATATAGTCAAGAAGAAGCACCGGTTCTCACCCCCAGGGTCATCCTCAGAAGTATTTGTTGGGGCTTTCCTGAACTTAAGGCTCGAGAAGTGCTGGGCCGAGATTTGGTCAGGGGATATGGCCACACGGGGAAATGTGTTGTTAGGGCTGTGCTTGACAGGAAAAATCGAGGACTCATAGAACTCGATAAATCTTCAGGGGCTATTTCCCTTGCTCTCGAGGCTTGTTTCCGACGGAATTGCTTTGTTTGCGCCCAAGACACACTCCAACTGAAGGCAGATGGGAGTGCAGAACTTCTCCGAACAAGGTGAGCTTGGCCCGAATATACTCAGTGGTCAGCGGCAGGGCACTGACTGGGAGGCCGACCTTCCCACAGCATGGAACATTTGGTGCGAAGAAGCCAGACACTAGAGGTTTAATAAAGTTTACTGTTTGCCCTTGCCGGCGGCCTGACGTTCCAACGATTATCTCGCGGTTTTGCGTTAGCGTTCCTTGACTGAGCTGGCAAGAAACGACTGCCCCAGGGCTCTTGAAGGGTTGTTTGACATCATGCTGAAAAGAGTTCTAGTTGTCTTGTCACCTACCAGCTCAGTAAATGCGAAAATTTCTGAAACTCTCCTATGCTGACCACCAGCAGATGCCTTTGGCTTGACCGCACGGTGGACCGGGTCATCCAAGTTGTTCAACCATGACATGTTGTTTGCCTATCGGGAGCTCAAAGGTAAATCGAGCTTCCTATGTTGAAGGGCCTTTACTTGGGATCCGATTCTTCTGTCAGGTTTGGCAATTATTGAACACCTCACAGCATACCAGATGTTATATAACCCTCCATTGATTCTTAGATCCTGCTTTGTTGGAGATATTGAAAAACATGCAGATGTAGAAATCCCGGCCTCACGGGGAGCCAAAGGGTTTCTTAGAGTTCCCGACTTCGAGCTGGGTGCTGCAAGTCCCAAGAGCTGCTTAGCCGAAACATGGGTGCGTCTCTTTTTTAATAGCTACCCTTTGGGTTTTTCGGAAGACCAGGAAAACCGGCGCCATGTTTGGTTCTCCGATTTTTTCCAAGAATGCGACTGATGGCTTGGCAGCTGGGCGGGTTCCGGCTCAGTGCAGAAGCACCTTCGGAGCTATTCGTAGAGCTACGGTGCGAGAAGTTGGGGGCAACTCAAACCAGGCTGCGGATGTGAAGGGCATTTGTCACATCTTGCGGCCTTGGTGACTTTGAGACCTCGATTTGGGGGAGGAGTTTGCATCTTGGACAATTGACAGCCGCTTCCTTTATCCTAGAAGGAGTTGCCCCAGGTTTCACCAGTTTTCCCTCCGCTTTTCGAGCTGCACTCGTTTCAGCGTTCCCCTGATGTTTTTGCACGAGCACGGCATTCTGGTTCTCAATTCGAGCGATAGGCCGACCGCCGAATTGGTGCAAAGGCCCAGACCCACGGAGCTTTGGAAATATTATATTGAAATAAGTGGATTGTGTCACATGGGATCCCCCGGCCTTTTTTCATCCAGCGGTAGTTCAACCAGACGTGTTGCACCTTTCCGTGCTTGGTTCAGGCCCGCGGCCTTAGGCACCTCGCGAAATATCCGGATTTTCTGCAGCGATTCGTAGAGCAAGACCCACGTCAACTTCATGCCGTGTGCACAAAAAGGGCGCGCTTACCACGTGCCAGCGTCGAGACCCCGCAAAAATCGACCAAAGTTGAAGGGAAACAATGGTAGTGACATGCGTACTGCGAATTTTTATTGCTTTCCTTTTCTACATCCCAATCGAGAGCAGACTTGAAGAGGATGTAGGAGTGGTTTTATGGCCGCGCATCAGGAATTCTTTCCGGTATCCTTGTTCAAGGCCGTGCTCCGGGTTCGGTTTCTTGTTTGGTCCCTTGCGCCATGCTCCGCGAGCTTCGCGAGAAGCTGAGGCGAAGAAGAGGCGCCGGCGCCGGAGACTTTGGGAGGTGAAGCAAATCGTTGGCTTGATGATTGCTTCTTTGGTGCATTTTGCTTGGATGTTAGGACTTTAACTTTTTGCTAACTAATGGGTTTTCCATTAAACCACCAAAAGTTAAACTTTTAGCAGGGGAGCAGAAAGCAACCGAGGCTTCGGATGGCATTTCGGAACTCCTTCCACGGACATGCTGCTTGTTGCAAGGAGGGCAAGAACCGTTTGTGGTTCGATTGAAGTAGAGCAAGGGACCTGTTCAGCAGGTTCTAGTAAAAGGGCTCCTTTCTAGTCAAGGACAATGATGTGTGCAGCATCCCGAAGAAACCCGTTTGTTAAAGCCCATTCAGCCGGTCACCCGCAAATACTGTGCCGGATTGGTGTCGACTTTGGCCTTATCCCTGACCCGAAGAAACGCTTACAGATTTCTTTTCACACTGTCTGTGTCGTGTATTGGCTGCACACGCATGACCACATATCATGCAGTCTACCCCAGCGATGTGTTCAAGTTCAATTTGCCCCATTGTTATTCATTGTGCGTTGCTGTCGGTTATTTCGCTTCATCTTGCAGGTTTTGTTGTCAGTACACGGTGCACGTATTTGCGTTGTGTGTTTTCCAGCCGCCGGTTCATGCGAAGCTAAGCCAAACACCAAGGACCATTCACAGAAAGGTTGCCAGACACAGAGCTGGCAACGCTGACTTGTGGGCAACACGGAGAACTGCGATAGATGAGAATTTCTGCTGATTCACATCTCACGGGATCTTCTAAGATCCCTTGCCAACCTTTGCAGCATATTGGCTCAGCCCTGCTGCGTCCCCTGCATTGGCAGAGGCGCGCCAGCTTTTGTGTCGTGCAGATGGCCTGCAAGTTCGATTGGCCCTATTCGGATTCGCCGATTCGCCTTCGCAGGGTTTGATCACGAGATGTCTGACAACACAAATAAAGTTTGTGCCTGTTCTGACAACCAAGCCGTGCTGCGAAGTGTACGTGAGAAGAGGCTAGTGCTACGTGTTCAAGCCTCGTTTGCGAGGCAAAAGAAAAAGTGAGAACATTGGCAGTTGCATTTGCAACGACTAAACCATAGTCAACCAACTGGACGTATGAGCAGTGGGAGTGAGTATTAGGCAGGAGGGGGCACGTAATTCAACAGGAGCACGATTGAGGAGAAGAGCATTCCATCAAAGGAAGTTTAGAAGGAACTTCTTGTGCGCAAAGAATCAACGCATGCAAGAAACATGCTTGGGCGCGTGGCTTGGAATGGAAACTGCGAACAAGAGTGAGCTTCTGCGGGTTATGGCATCTCGGGCGGGCTGAAAGCCACCTCGGTCACGACGCCTGTCTGACGACGGGTGTGGAATGGGGGCAGCGCTTCGGCAAACTGAAGTACAGATTGCGTGGCAGGCGCATCCCTTTCTAGGATTTGTTTTCAGATTTCGCGGCAAGCGGCAAGCGCATCACGTGGGAAGCCTGAGGCGCAGATTGCGTGACAGGCGCTGGCTCGAACGTGTCACAAATCGCATCGCGGGCGTGCGAACTGTCACACGTAGATACACGTACATCTTGCGGCAGCGCCACTTTTGCAAGGTACAGATCTCGTGGAAGGCCTGCAACGCTTTCGCAACTACGGATGCGTAGACCGGCAGACAGATAGATAGATCGATAGGCTGGCAGATAGATGTATGCAAAGATAGCTTTATAGATCATTAGAGACAGATCGATAAGTCAGTTTGGGTTAAACGGACAGATTACATAGTTGCACAGGTGGTTACAAGCACACAGATGTCGATAGAAGGTAGATAGACAGGAGGAGAATCATGATAGACCAGTAGATAGATCGATCGAGAAACGGAGACCGCGATGTTCAACTACAGTGAGTGCGTGGTACAGTTGCATGTGCGCTACACTAATGGTTGATACATACCGCAGGCCTTGAGCCTAGTTGAACTACATCAGGAGAAAACAAGAGCTGCGGCAGACTTGTGAGAACAACTGCGCAGCAATTGCACTTGTGTTTTAACGTGGTTGCGGAGCTGAGATCCTACCCAAAGGGGAGCTCCAGTAGTAACGACTACAGTAGCACCCAACTACTACGACATGACAGCAGGAGATCAACAGGCAGCATCAGCAGGCATACCAGCAGAGACTGCAGCAAGACAGCCTCGACAATTTGGAGGAACACCGGCAGCACCACCAGCACAAACTACAGGAACAATAGGTGCAACAACAGCAGCACAGGCAGAAAGCGACGTGCAGGGACTACACAGATACAAGCTACCACCACCATACTTCAATGGTGACTACTCCAACTACGATGAATGGAGATGCTACAAGCCTACTTGGGACTCATCAACAACGAGTTCGACCACATACTACGAAGAGCAGATGTAGCTACAAGCACAGTGGTAGACTACTGAAACCTTCATTCAGTGAACAACTGTTTGAAGAGCAGTTTCTACAATGGGAATATGACCTCAACAGACGAGCGCGACAACGGAGCAGCACCAGCAGATGGAGTGAAGGTTGCAGTACTACTCAATGAGACAAAAGGAGCACTACAGCAGCACCTTCAACTACGAGCTGGAAGAATGACTACCTACACGGCAGTGCGTGATGTGGTGATTTCGTACGACAAGACCATCTCGGCATTCTCCAAGATGTATGCAATCGCATCATCGGCAGTTGGTAGCAACTACGGAGGTGGACCAGCCGCAATGGACGTTGACAACCTTTGGAAGAAAGGAAGCTACAAAGGACGACACAAAGGAGGCTACAAAGGAAAACAAGGAAAAGGAAAAGGCAATTACAAAGGAAAAGGCAAAGGAACACCATGGCCATTCAAGGAAAGATGGGGCAACAGAGCATAGCTACACGACAAGGTTCAAGCAAACGAGCGAAACGCATCGACCTCAAATTTCTTACACACAAGACCTCATCAAGAACATCATCATCAAAATAGCAAAGATCAACACTCCACAACAGCGCAGACGTTCTAACAAGGTACACTACAAAGGACATACTCACACGACTTGCTCAGTCACTGAGCATGAGTGTGTAACTACAAGCAGCAACAACAACCGTTTCACAACAGGCCATTTTTCTCCCCGTTGGCGGCATTTTTCACGCGCGTTGACTACACGTTTTGGTACCACCTTTTCTTTTTGACTACATGTGCCCCAACTGACGGATTTGTAAATGTAACTACATGTGTATCACTTGCACTTTGGCGGCTTCCAGGCGGCTCAGGCAACACTAAATTTGTTGATTGTCTGCCCGCGTCTACAGCCGTTTGCTCCACTGAGGTGCCCCGTTTCACTACATTTGTCCACTCGTGCCCACATCGCCATGGCCACTGGACCTACAAGCGTCGATGCCACCATGGGTGATACTACACCCGACAGTGCATCAACTCCACCTGCAGTGGAGACTACAGATTCGAGTGACTGAGGGTCACTACCAGCGCCTGTCTACAACGAAAACAGCTACCAATTCAACCACACAACGCCTGGCACCACACCATACTACCAGCCAACAGCCATCGCTGAGCAATTTCACATCACAGAACACCAGACCACGACTACACCGCACCTCAACAACCACACTCGCTACGTTCAACTTTTCACAGCACTTGCTCTTGAGGAGTACCAACTACTTTCACTACAACAAGCAACAACACTTCACCACCTCGACTACACACGACCACTACAGTGCATCCCAGGCAACTTGAGGATGCCTCACTATGACTCAACACTACTGAGCATCTCCGTGGCAGAAGCTTGCAACCACCTCGTTTCACATCACAACTGGTCACCCTGACCACTACATTGTTGTCAAACTATACCTTGAGCAGGAGCTACTACTGAGGTATCTCACCCCCAGGACAACTACTCCACTTACCAGGGACTACGTTTCCTACATGCTCTCCATTCAGACCCCACACTACCTTCCAACTTCACAACAAAGAAAGGTGGACTGTGACATGAGCATGTTCACTGAGATCCACAGCCTGAAAAACAAACACATTTGGAACTACCACATGCCTCTGCTCCTCCCTGACCTACCGCGACCAACTACACGACTTTCAGTACAAAACGATCACTACCATTCTCCACAGCTCCACAACTACCTTCGCTCTAACAACCCACAACTGGCAGCGCCCAAGATCGATGATAATCGACTACGTGGAGCGCCTGATTTCAACAACTACTTCGTTACACACTACGTCAGCACGCTGGATGACAGGCTGAAGTTGGTGGTGCGCGACTATAGGCTCCACCACTGGCAGCAGCATGCCTGAGTGCTGCCTGCTGGACTACATTTTCTGAGTAGCTGAGGGTTAACTAGGACCCTGTACAGCCGCTACACCTTTTGGCCTTCGAGGGTTAGATGAACTACAGCCAGCAGCGTTGTAGTAGACCTACCTTCGGTCATTTTGCAGAACAGAAAACTACATGTCAGTTCCTTTTGCTTTTGGACCCCCCCTTTCAACTACGGTTGCACAACACTTTCAGGTTGCGCAACCGCGGGGGCGTGTTAAACTACAGTGAGTGCATGACACAGGTGCATGTGCGCCACACTGATGGTTGACACATACCGCCTTGAGCCTAGCTTGAACTACATCAGGAGAAAACAAGAGCTGCGGCAGACTACATTTGTTTGTGATAACAACTGCGCAGCATCTGCACTTGTATTTCAGCGCGTGAGAGAGAGAGAGGGAGATAGATCTCGATGGGTCGGCAAACTGACAGAAAGACAGATTGACGGCCACACAGACAGACACACGGAGAAAAAGACACACACAGACAGAGAAAGAGAAGCTAGAGGTAATCAGACAGATAGATTCAGAAAAGCTAGACAGATCGATGCACCCAGATATGATAGCTAAATGGATAGATGGGTAGATGGATCGGCAGACATCAATGTAGAGAAATAGACAGGAAGATGAGACAGGTAGACAGACAGACAGATAGGCACATAGACAGATTGGTCATAGATAGAAAGACATATAGATAGGAAGACAGACAGATCGCCAGGTAGCTTGGCAGCTCGAAGGGTGGATTTTAGATGGATCGGCAGATGGTAGGTATACAGAGAACGGACTAGATTAAGATTAGACTAGCTAGATAGCTTAGATGACCAGAAAGCTAGATGGTTTTATAGACAGGGTATATATATAAAAGTTGGTAGATAGCTCAGCCTACATGGGATTACACTAGGCTGGGGTAGATGAGACTAGATTTGCGAGGTAAAAGGTAGGTAGACAGTGCAAGAGAAAGAGGAAGAGAAGCTTGTGACCCTGCGCGAAAGACACAAAGAGAAAGAAGACACAAAGAGAAAGACACAAAGAGAAAGAAACAAAGAGAAAGAAGAGTAAAGTAGACAGAGAAAGAGAGCGCGACAAAACAAGAAAGACAAAATGAACGAGACAAATCATGAAAGGGACCTATAACCATTGTTCTTATCTTGTTGATTTTTGTTGCCAACCGGCTTCGCCGTCTCTACTGGTACAGCGCAAGAAGAGCACAAAATATCGCAAGAGCGCAAAGAACAAATCGTGGGAAGCAACGTGGATACACACAGGCGTGCTGGACAGGCAACCAATGTGACCAGCCCAGCTTGCCCCGCAGCTCATACTATGAAGCATGTTGGAGTTCATCAATAAACTTGGGGTTCATGATCATTACCAGAAGGTAGGCTTGATGTAACGCTGGAGGGTCAAAGAGACAAACAATCCAAAACCAACGGATCATCTGAAAGGTTCACAAGGTCAACGGATCATGGCCAATACGATGGGTGACAAGCGGGAATTTCGTCAGCCATGACCCTAGGTCGAGGTCTTGTACTGACTGATACATGTCCGGCCTGCACACTGGTCAGCATCAAATATGGTTTGCAGCATCCCTGCCTTTGAGGTAATTAGCAAATGTGAGCGTTTGACGCAGCCCCTGTGCTATCAGGGTGAGAGGGAGAGAAAGAGAGAGAAGCAGCAGCTTTCCCCCAGCGAAGCCCAATGCACGACATATTCAATGTAGTTTTTGTCCAGTGGAACACGTCTACAAGTTTTGCAAAAGCCTCCCAGCTGCCATGTTCCCTGGTGCACCGATCAAGGTGCCAGAGTTGTGTCGCTTGGCTGAGCCACCGGCGGTTCAGGCGGTTCAGGAACCGCGGCCCGCCGAACCCTGGGCCAAGTTCCAGCCCAACACGGCTGCGCCCTTGCCGGAGAAAGACCTTCGCACGCCGGCAGCTGCCACCAGAGACTTCCGAGATCGCGACTTCCGAGATCGAGACTTCCGAGATGCGCGTTACCGCGAGGCCTCGGTACCGCCACGCCTCTCGCCGCGGTTCTCGCAGAATTCGGGGCACATCCCTTGCCATTTAGAGACTGCGGTCAGGGAGATGTTCCCGGACCCCAGGAGAAATCATCACAGAGTCCGAAAGGACGGGACCTTCGACGGGCTCTATGTGGACTGCACCTTTGGGCGAGGAGGCCACACCCGGCACATCCTCTCACAGCTGTCCTCGGCTGGGCGGCTGGTCTCCTTCGATGTCGATCCGGAGGCCGTGGCAGTGGCGCGGGAGTTGGAGCGTGAAGACCCACGCTTCAAGATCGCCCACCGGCCCTTTGGCGAGCTGCGGGAAGAGTTGGGCGACGCCAAAATCGATGGGATTTTGGTGGATTTAGGGGTCTCCAGCCCCCAGCTGGACGTGGGAAGTCGAGGCTTCAGCGTCACAGAGGATGCGGACCTTGATCTGCGGATGAATCAGAAGGCAGGGATCCCTGCATGGCAGTGGTTGCAGGAGGCAACAACCGAGGAGGTGGCCTGGGTGATCCGTGAGCATGGGGAAGATGGGGGTGAGGTCATGCCGGACCGCATTGCCGAGTTTATCATGACGCAGCAGAAGAGGTGCCCCATCAAGAGGACCAAGGACCTGGCGGAGTTGGTGAAGGTGGCGAAGCAGGGTGTGGATGAGCGTTCCCAACACCCCGCCAAGCTCACATTCCAAGCCTTTCGCATGTTTCTGAACCAGGAGATGGAGCAGCTGAATGACTTGCTGCATGCTGCTTGTGAAAAGCTGGTAGATGGGGGGAAGCTTGCGGTGATTACCTTCAAGAAAACTGAGTGTGATGCGGTCACACGGTTCATTCGTGAGCATGAGGAGCCCCAGACAGAAAGGTCTTGGATGAGTAAGGAGCGTTTCCTGGAGTTGTACCCTCTCATGGCCAAGGACACAGACTTCTGCGTGCGCCTCACCAGAAATCCAATTCGCCCCAGTGACCAGGAAATTCTCGCCAACCCTCGAACCAGATCAGCCATAGTGCATGTCCTGGAAAAGCGCAAGAGGCTGCAGCCTATGATTCATGTGGACAATGGCTGCACGCGCACAGAGGCCGAGCGATTCCGCAAGCCAACTGCGCCTTTCTCCAGAACCGCTCCGAGCAAAACGCCGGTGCCGATCAGCCCAAAGCTCCAAAGGGCAGCTTTCCTGCCGGAGCAAAGGCCAGGTGTATTTCCTCCACCCAAGGCATTCGCTGAGAGGGCAGAGAGCCACAAGGAGCTGAAGCCGGATAGGACCTACGACAGCCTGGACTCCAACACTCTTGGTGAGTGTCGTGCCATTGTGGACTTTGCCCCAGATGGCCCAGATGAGTTGAAGGGGCATAAGGGCCTGAAGGGACACAAGGGCCAAGTTTTTCGAATCCTATATCGGCGGAAGGATTGGCTCTATGGTGCAGATTCTGCTGAGATGGGTTGGTTCCATGCCTCGAAGGTGAACGAGTTTCACGACTTGTAACGGTGAGGCGCTGAATGTTGTGGCGCGTGGGTGTTGGTAGTGTGGGTATCTTCGTTTGGTTGGTTTACAGGGAAGCCAAAACGTAGTTTGCGACACACCCCTGCGCTGTGCGTCCGCTACGGACTTGTCCAGGTCCGGTAAAAATCGCTAAGGACCCCCTTTTGGTTGCTACTGAAAGGGAGCCAAAAGGCAACCGCTGCCTAAAGAAAACCATGGGCTGTGATGTTTTGGTTCGTCACCGGCTTGGACAAGCATTAGCTGGCGGAGGTGTTTTGACGTCTAAGCCGAAGCCGGGACCAGCAAAAGAAGTGCCAGCTCGCCCCGAGGGTGATTGCTTGCTTGCGGGCCACAGATTTACGGACACCACGCATTCTCCACCCCGTTTGTTTGCCTGGCCATGACTTCTTCTTCATTCAATTTGGTGCGACCAGTAGGATTCTTGCATGTTGTCCCAGGGCTTGGAATGTATTCAACGCCAACGCTCGGGCCTCAGCGATTTGGACCTTGCAAGTTTCGACCCTTTCACTCCACAGATTGGCCACGGCAGAGGGTTTGGACAAATCACGGATGAAGCTTTGCTCGCAGGCAGGCCAGGTTTGGTATGTTTGGCAGCATTGGTAGTTCTGGTTTGGCTTGAACATCAAATATCCACGTCCTTTTCAACCACATGCCACGAAAGCCAGGGTCAGCCTTGCCAGTTCACCACAGAAGCGGGAAGCTGAGAGAGGCTCCTTTTCGCTGTTCATTGGAGCGTTTCTCCAAGTGGGTGAGAGTTTGTTTGAGGGTACTGTACCCGCTTTGGGGGTGGTGTTAAAGGGAAGCAAGCCGCTCCTGTCAAACTTCAGCGAGTTGCGAATTCGAGGTCGCCACGAATTCGCAGGTAGTCGGTTGCGTGGCTCAGGTCCAGCGAACTCATGCAATCGCCCAAGTTCCCCGCCCGGGTCTCAGTGCTCGAAGTGGTGGGGTGGCAATTCGCGACATTGGGCCGTGCCCCAGAGGTTTCTCTTTCGGAGGATTGACTTGTGTTGACTTGTGTTGACTTGTGTTTCTCATTTGGCCGTGTGTTGACCTGTGTTCCTTTTGCGGAGGTTTCTCTTTTGGGTCCTTGCACATGGGCGAGTGACACGTAGGTGACACGTAGCTCCCCCCCAATCCCGAATCCCGACTTCCCGACTCTGCCAAGGACAGGGGTGCCGTTGGGGAGCCCGGCTTCAGGAGACAACGCCTGCGGAAGCCAATTCGGTTCGGGGGGGGGGGGGAGCAGGTCAGGTGCGCCTCCGCGGAAGAACCACGTTGGGATGACTTGTCGTTCAACGTATGTCATTCAAGCTCAGAACTGAACTCCACATGGGTGTGGGTCAAAATAAAAAGACCAGGGGCCGCAGGTTTTAGTCTTTGGTTCCATTTACCAGGGTTCTATTTCCTGTACGTATTTTTGACCCACAGCCACGACATTTTTGTGCCACAGCTTTCATAGCGCGACTCGACTTGAGTTTTCGGGCTTTGTGGAAGCCCAGTGCGTATGTCTGAGGAAACGTCAAGGTGGCATGTTCCGATTTGCTTGTCACTAAGGTGACCTACGCAGTGGGCACCCGTCCGTCCTGGGCTCGAGATCATTTGTCACGTTTGGAGTCAGACAGAATTGGGCACCAGCACCCTTTGCATTGATGTGAGCTGAGGACCAACGGCGCTGCCACAAAGGCTGCGCTGAGTGAGTGACTAGAGCTGAGGAGGGCACATGCGCAGGCACAAGCACAGGCCCAAGCACAGGCACACACGCAAGATGAATTGCAAGCACAGGAACAAACACACGGTGAAGCACAAGCCCAGAAAGACAAGCCCAGGGAGACCAGCATACGCGCAAGCCCCAAGCACGGAGCACAAGCAGAATCGCCAGCACGCATTACGCACGTGACACCTACGCACGCTCCCGAGCTTGCACGTGCGCACAAGACCACTTACGCGCACAGGCGGAGTCGTGTCCCAAGTGCGGCAACGTGCCGGGAGCCCAAGTCGTTGCGCACCCATCCTTACCACAGGAATAGCATTCGGGCATGCTTCAAACTACCCCAACAAGTTTCCTTTTTTGGTTACGCTTCCCTTCTGCCCTTTGCCCAGCCGTTGTCCTGTTCGTCACTGGCTGATGGCTTCGCAGGCGTTTAGCTAAACCTGCGTATGGCTGTTGTTTTGGAGTTGGTGCCCTTTGACCAAAGGCAAAAGTGCAGCCATTTTGGGGGTCTCCGGTTTTGGCACATAGCTTTTGGGCCTCTGGTGACGGCTAGGAGAATGTGTTGGATAGTGCCAAACCTTGGGAGGTTCTGAGGGAGGGCGGGTATCGGTTCGGGAATCCGCGGCTGAGGTATTTGGCTGATGCGATCTTCTGCCGCAACTGTGGCCAGAAGCGCGAGGTCGGGAGTGTTCTCTTTCAACAACGGAAAGCTGATGCTTTCTCGCCCCTCCTGCAGAGGTGCCAACAAGCGTTTAGCAGAGCAACAACGGTATTGATGTAAAGGCAATCTGCATGAGCAAGACCACCCACAGTATAGCAGAATGGACATGTTGTTGAAACCCGCATCTGACAACTGGGCGTGTGTTTTGCGAGGGTACCTTTCTTTGGGATGGTTTTGAAGGAAAGCAACAAGGAAAGCAACCATTGTGGGGGTCCCGGTATTTTGACACTCAACTAGCCTATCACACCCTGAGCCTGCATCCTCTGCGAAGTTGATGCCCCTCGTGTTTTACTCCTATATTCATAGCTTTAGGACACTTCACGTTCTATCAGTTTGGTCATCATGTCCTTCCCAACCCATAAAACCGCGTGAGCCTTTCCTGTTGTTTCAGCTATAGCCGTAAGAAGAGGTGTCATGGTCAGTCTCCCGAACAGTGACACTGGCAGGCACCGTACTTGCACCTTGATGGATTGCTTGCTTGTTTGTATCCTTGATTGATTGCTTTTATCAGTTATCATGCTCAGGCTTGGTTTGCCGACTTCAGATATTCCTACATTTGGGATCCGGGCAACGACAAGTGGGTCTGTCTCAACATGAACCCTAAAATGGTTGCTGATATTCCAGTTCCTTCTAGAACCAACCATAAAGAGGGCTCCCGCCACGTCCGTCACACTTTCGGTTTGAGCTGTAGAGGGCTGAGTGCCAGGCCGAGTCGTCCTTCCGCCGCTCTCTGGACACACGCTTGCGCAGCGTGAAGGACTCAGCAGTCGGCCGATACCCCGGGGGTTTTGGGCATCAGACAATAGCACGCGAAAATGCAGGATATCACAGCGGTGCCCATTGATCATCAAAGTCATCTCCCCGTACGCAACTACCAGCGCACACACACACATACACACGTGCCAACTCTTTTGCTTCATGTCAGGTTCGGTCAAACTATCCAATAGTCCATGTGCGACGGTCATGGGGGACCCACTAAATCATTTCCCACAAAACTGAGGACTCGTCAATGGCTCCATTTTCTTTAGAATAACCGCATATTTTCGCCGTGGCTCATATCAACAGAACCCATGCAAGCAAGGACACACACACACCCACGCACACACCCACGCACACCCCCACACACACACACACACACACCCACGCACACACACCCACGCACACACACCCACGCACACACACCCACGCACACACACACACACACACACACACACACACACACACACACACACACACACACACACACACACACACACACACACACACACACACACACACACACACACACACACACACACACACACACACACACACACACACACACACACACACACACACACACACACACACACACACACACACACACACACACACACACACACACACACACACACACACACACACACACACACACACAAATCACACATTAATGGTAGATGTATCTTATTATCATATTAATCACACACACTTACACACACACATTTATCATATTATGATATATGTTTATATGATACATGTGTTGTCTTGACATCATGACATCAATGACATAGCTGTGGGTGTTGCCAACCAAAGGATTATTTATATAACCTGTATACATATATATATGTATCTCTGCATCTATTCTGTATATAACCTCTGTATCCTTCACGTCTGGCGTCTGTGTCACCTTCTTACGCCACATGCTATGCATACGCTGCACATGCATGCATGCAGCCACGCCCGCATTTACATATTTATGCACATCTATATGCCGCACGGCGCAGCGCACGCATCTACTTGCTATCATAGCCGCCACTTGGCCCATGCTGTATGACATACGCGCATCTTTGACATCGGCCTGCTGGCCCGCATATGGCCTCTGTGCATGACATATGACATCATTATGGCTATACTTGACATATGTGCTATGGCCTTCTTGGCCCATCATATTATGTGTGCTATATTATCTTACTTATTATAGCATACTCTTAGTATCTGTATATAACCCTATATTATATATATCATATTTATCTATTATATATTATCTGTGCTCTGTATATATAATGTCTGTATATGACATATATTATTTATGTATTTATATGACCATGTGTAGCCTTCCAGCCTCGCACCCGCACCAGTACCCACCCACACACCATACCACCACACCCACACCACACACACACCCACACCCACACCGTGCCACACCCACCCACCCACACCACACCACCACACCACACCCACACCCATGCCTTCTATACACCATACACACACATACCACCTACATACACCATGCACCACCCACACCACACCCACACACACACACACACACACACACACTCACACTCACCTCCACCTCACCACGCGCACGCGCAGCGCGCTGCTGCGGCGCTTGGCCATGCGCGGCCCTGGCCCCTTGGCCTCTTGGCCGCACCTTGTGACGCGCGGCCGCCACGCCTTGGCCTGTGGCGCCTGGCCTTGTCTGCCTGTGGCCGCATGGCCGCACAGCCTCCTGTGCTGCGCCCATACCCAGCCCTTACCCAGCTGACATATGGCCCATCTTATTTATCTTGTATCTGCCTGGCCTGCGCCTGCGCCCCTGCCTTTGCTACGCCCTGCTGCCTGCGCTACGCCGTGCGTGATACTGCCTCTGGCCTTGCCCTTCTGCCTTTCTTGCCCTGCCTTTGCGCTGCCTTGCCTTTGCCTTGCCTTTCCTTGCGCCTGCCTGCCCTTTGCCTTCACCCCTTTCTGCCTGCCTTGCCTTTCACCTTCTGCCTGCCTGCCCACTGCCTTTGCGACACACGCACACCCACACCCACACCCACACACACACACACACACACACACACACACAGAGACACACACACACACCCGGCATGAACCATGGCGACAAACTTACGCCATGTCGCATTTGAGCGGAGAGGTGCGAGCATCAATGCTGTAGAGTTTCGGCAAGCAAAAGACATGCATAGACAAGTGAGAAGCGTGTAGAATCTTAGATGTTTGGCCTCTGAATCTTGGATACCGAGTTGTGGATTCTTAGGATACTTTCCAACTGGCAAGAAGGCTTCTAGATCCCACAGGATCTAACGGTTGGTTTTGGTGGGTCATTGTTGTTTGCTAGAGAGTTGAGCATCGTTTTCCGGTTCGTTGGTTTCATGCTTTGGCAATTGTTGTTGTTCTTGTAACGTCTCAATTGCCAATGTTGTTGCAGGCGCTTGTCGCAATCAGCAAGACTGGGAAGCAGGGAACTGTGTGAATAGATGTGGGGGTTGTTGATGCCATCAGACATGTACATAGCTGCAACGCGCAACTTTTTCTCACATACATTTTTGAATGGATTTGTGAGCTGAGTGTTGGGGGTGCATACATTCATGCACGCAGGAATGCGTATGTTCTTGTCACGATGACATGTAGCTACTCGCACAAAGGCAAATGACTGATGTATGCAATAAGGCTTTGCCGTGTTGGTTGGTTCCCGGGCACTTCTTTGTCAGTCCTTGGACGTATCCTGCTTCAACAATACTGAAAGTGATAAGAAACGGTTTGGAAGACTCGCATCTTGAAAAGGACTGCGATTGTTGGAAAGAGAGCGGCAAGCAATGGCTATGCGTGAACAGTTAGAGGGATGTTCGAATTGGGCTGTTTTTCGGTTGGTTTGCCTACCTAACAAAAAAACACAAAACAGTCAGCGCACACCCTAATCAGCCAGGTGAGATCAGACGCCTCTGAGCCTTCAGTGTCTCCGCCGCGGTATTGGCAAGGCAACTTTGGACGGAGGAAGCGGGTTGCCAGCTTTGCATGCGCAGGATACCTGCAGATTAACATCGAGCCCGAAAAACCGATCATTCATTCTGATAAAGGAATCTGAATCTGCTTGTGGAGTTGAAGGGAAACCAAAAGGATTTGTCGGGTCCCCTTTTGCGATACTGTATGTGGGGTCAATTCACCAGAAAGCTGTTTGAGGGTCTGTGAGGTTTGCTGAGGACACTCAGACGAGAGTCTATGAGCTGATTGGTCTAAGATCATCACTTTTGCTTTTGTTTTCCCCGGCGGTTTCAGCCTCAAGGCTGGCGGAAATTATGAACCAAGCAGTACCACCGCAAAGGATGGGCAGGTAGACCAAAAGCCTGTCCATGGCTTTTGCGAATTCGAATATGACGGTGACCATGCCAGATTTATTCGCCTCCCTGTCAATGGTCTTGAAGTTCACCACATTTTCGCAGAGGAATTGTTTTTTTCCCCACTTGAGGCTGCCCAAGCCTTTTTGGGGGTCCCCCAATTTTAACAAATCCCTTGGGAGTTTCAGTGGGCAGACTCGTCGGTGGAATTCGCTCAGCGCCCTGCAGTTGAGCCGCTGACGGGCCAGACGCCCCGGAAGGACTGCAGGGGGAACGAAAAGGAACAGAAGCGTTTGTTTCGACACATACCCGGCACGTGTGACATGATCATGTTCCCTCACCCACCAATAGTGGTCCCAGACTGCAAAACCTCTTGCAGCTTCGTTGCTCAGCTTGCCCTCAAGCTCCTTGGGATGGAAGGCCGTACAGCAGCCCTTGAGAATGAGTGTGTGTGTGTGTGTGCGCACGAGAGATGCGGGGATCCCAAACATGGCGTCGGTTTCCCCGTTTCTCGTCGGACAGGAGGCAACGACAGCGCAGGACGGCTGCGTTTTTGAAGCCCAGTCCTTCTTCTTCTGCCAGGGTCACTAGGCAATTGGGACGATAACCCACTTTGGACTTCATCGAGAGCAAATGTTCGGAAGATCTTGAAGATTGCACAAGAATGCTTTTTCCCTGACTTCCCACTCAGAAGCTATTCTCTTTCTCTCTCGCTTTCTATTCTCGCTCTCTCTCCCTCTTCCTCTCCCATGAGAAGCGAATTCGAGGATTCCGTGGCTGCTACCAGTGGTAGCGCCCGTGAGTCCTTGAGGGGACTGGCGGCCGAGCGGGATCGCCTGCAGCGACAGGAGCGGTGCTTGAAGGGGTGGGGGGGGTGGGGTCGGCTTTCATAGCGGTGCCCCACACCAGAGAAGAGACGAAGCTGCGGGACTTCAGAGGTAGCTTCAGAATTTCTTGTTGCTGTTGCTTCTTCTCCAAGCAAAGCACAAAGCATGGTTTCGCACGGGCCATGAAAACGACGTTCCAATTGTGAAAGCAGTAAAGGTTGTGCTCGAGCCCGAGGATTTGTTGGTAAAGTTTGCCATGATCCATGGCAGGTGCAAGAGATGCGCGGCGATGTCTCCACTGCCCGCCAGGCACGAAATCCATTTGTTTGCGCTTTGGGAGCGTGAGAGCCGGCCAAACGAAATGGCTATGCTTGCTGTGCTAGCTAGAATGAAGCAGCACCTGGGCCAATTGGAGGTTTTTAGCACGCTCAAGAGTTGGCTTGCAACAAACGTGATTTTCTTTGACTGTGGACGTGGTTTCCGTACTACGCCAGGACCTCTCCACACAGCACAATCGGCAGAAGGTGCAGACGGAAGAGCTGCAGAGCCCTTAGATCGAATGCTGGGAAATTCCGATTTCCATGGTTCATTTGGATTTCCTTCAAGCACCAGGCGACGAGCCCTAATTTCCTATGTCCAGTAGGGGAAGCAAGCAATTTTGACCGTGGCTCGCGTGGTCTACAGAGGTAGTTGCACATTTCCCAAGTCACAACCGCCTCGGACCAAATTTGCATGTACCCAGTGAGGTGATTTCTGCACTGCCTACACCACATTTGTTGTTTTCTTTTTGCTTGGATTGCAACCATGGCTTTGATTCTTCCCTGGCACGTCCCGAAGCGTCCCCCGGACCCGACCGGCAAACCCATTGCCCGCCGATCTGCTTCGAGGCGAAGCACGTTGCAGGATCTGCAGGCAGATACCGAGCGCCTCCACACGGAGCAGTGGGGAGCCTGAGACCCGCGCCGCCTCGGAGCCAGCGTCTAGTGAGTCTAGTGGCCGGAGCTTGTCGGCGTGCTGGGCTTGTGCAGGGTTCAAAGGCTTAGAGACCAATCAAGGTCTCCCAACCGGGTGGGCTCTGAACGGTCTGGCCATTCAAGGGCCATCGCATGACTCAGGAGGCGGCAGGCTGCGGTGCTGAAGCAGTCGTTGAAGGCGCAAATTCTTGGGTGATGCTCAGAGAGTGAGAGAGCGGGCGAGAGAGATAGAGAGTTTCAAATGGAAGCAAACTAGTTCAGGGTTGGGGCGGTTTTCTTTGAACTCCCCGGGAAAGCGGCCTTAGGTAGGAATTTTCCGAGGAATCGCCCCCTCAACTCGCAAACACCTCATTTTGGAAAGCACTCATTCACTTTCAGTGAGCCAGGGACAGACGATACTCATGCAGGAAGGGCCATTTGTGAAGTGTGAGCATTATGCTTCATACTGGCAACGTCGTCAACCATGCCACGACTTTTGATGGTGCTTACGCGGTCATTCGGGGTATTGTCAGTGTGTGAGCGCGCGCGCGAGCGCATCTCTCTCTCTCTCTCTCTCTCTCTGGCTCCCTCTCTGTCTCTCTCTCACTCAATTTTTCTTCTTCTTTGTTTCTTCTCTTTTTTTTCTTCTTTGTTATTTTTTTTTCTCTCTCTCTCTCTCTCTTTTTCGCTCTCTCTCTCTCTCTCTGTGGGGCTGTTTTTCTTATTGCTGGCGGTCTTGTTTCTTCTTGATGGTGTTCTGGCTTTGAACCAGAAAAGCAGATAGGCTGGTTGCCTGAATGATCCTGATTGTGTAAATCAAGCCATAGCCAACCGCACCTAGCTGCTTTTGGGAACTTGGACCTGGATCACGATTGTCTTTTGCAACAGGTACCGCCACTATGCCTACATTTAATAATCTTTCTTTGGGAGTTTCTCCCTCTTGGTTGGTATTCAAAGAAAAACAAAAGGAAGCTAACCATTTTAGGGGCCCCTATTATTTGAGAACCCATCCTTTTTCGTTCCGGCATGGTTCACGTTTCTGCTGCTGTTGCCTTCATTGCTGTTCTGACGTCGCCGGCTGTTTCTTTTGTTGGCGCTGATATTCAAGATGAGCTTTGCGCATTCGCTGCGCATGTTGCAACGCTTCCCCTCACGTGGAAGTGCGAGCCACTCGACCCCAAGACCGTCTTGGAATAGGGCCCAACAGCCCAAGGGGCCCAAAGAGCCTGTGCACCAAGCCCTGTTTGCACCAAACCATGTGGGAGTGTCTTCTTTTGGTGCCCCTGTTGGTACAGGGAAGCCCAAACGAAACCGAAGCCATGGAGTTTGTTTGTGGGGCTGAAATCTGAGGGCAGCCCAGAGCCTGGCTTCAACCCGAACCGCCTCGAGAAGCAGGTCCAAGCCTGAGAGAGACTTCCAGTTCCCCTCTCCGCTGGTCAGGATCTCCTTTCCGTGGGTTAGCCAGTGTGCGTGGCTTTGAAGATGACCTGGGCCAATGTTAAGTGAGCTTCCTTTTGGTGTGATGATTGTTGTTGATGCTTAAAAGGTACACAAAGCAAGCTCTTCGTGCCATCGGTCTATCCAATGTGCCCAGCTTTTTCCCAGACTTGCTAATTGTTTTTGATGCTTAAAAGGTCCACAAAGCAAGCTCTTCGTGCCATCGGTCTATCCATTGTGCCCAGCTTTTTCCCAGACTTGCTAAGGCATCTCTGCCAATATAGACAGTGACATGCAGATGCACGCCTCGGCAGCTCAAGATCTGGAGCTTCATGAATACAAGTTGTTGTCATCCACAATTTACGTTGCTGCAGGTAGAGGGCGTAGCATCGATTGTGAAGAACCAGGAGCTGTGTGGGATGGTGGATGTTGCCAGCACCCGGTCTAGCAAACTCGTGCTGCTTATCTTCGTCGCACTTCTATCATGCAGGCAGTGCGCGCACCTATTGCATGTTGCTTTCTCTTGCCTTGAAGTTGATGTGACACATACAGTGATGAGCATGTCGCTTGATCGAGTAAAGGAGCAACGCTTTGACCGGCTAGAGAACGATATTACCTCCGCCTACGAGTCTCAGAGGACTGGGGGAAGTCAGTCGCTGTTCACCCATGTTCTTCTGCCCAGAGCCGCCCCCTAAGTATGAAGGGGTTTCCTCACTTCCTGTTGGGGGGATGCAGAATCCACAATTTGAGTGGAATTGACTTGGGGCAATTTTCGGAACCCCCTTTTGTTGTTTGTGGCTCTTTGCGTAGCGAGTTTGTTCTTGCGCAGTGAGGTTGGGTAAACATTGCATCCATGGAAGGACACATTGACATGTTTCGTTTCACCAGCCTCTTTTTGACAGGCCATGCACCACTATTAAAGAAACACATGTTGACCTCCGGAACACATCATTACATATCTAGTGTGATATCTTCATGTAATCACGGTTCGATCCGAAATAGCAGTATGGGGACAGCCTTTCTCGGATCAGTCTGCTCGGCGCAATCTTCCCGTCCCTGAGAGATTTCTTACCTGAGAGAGTGCGTGGTTGGCGGCAGGCAGCAGCTGCAGGATGCCTTGCACGAGAACAGGTGGGAGTTTGGCTTGGTTTGACGCTCGGCGTTTGCTCGGGTGGGTGGTTGGGTTGGGCAGCGCGGTTTGACGCTCGGCGTCTGCTCGGGTGGGTGGGTTGGGTGGGCGGCGCGGTTTGACGCTCGGCGTTTGCTCGGGTGGGTGGTTGGGTTGGGCAGCGCGGTTTGACGCTCGGCGTCTGCTCGGGTGGGTGGGTTGGGTGGGCGGCGCGGTTTGACGCTCGGCGTTTGCTCGGGTGGGTGGTTGGGTTGGGCAGCGCGGTTTGACGCTCGGCGTCTGCTCGGGTGGGTGGGTTGGGTGGGCGGCGCGGTTTGACGCTCGGCGTTTGCTCGGGTGGGTGGTTGGGTTGGGCAGCGCGGTTTGACGCTCGGCGTCTGCTCGGGTTGGTGGTTGGTTTGGGCAGCGCGGTGGTCAGTTCGTTGGTTGGGTTGGTTGGTTGGTTGGTTGGTTGCTTGCTTGCTTGCTTGCTTGCTTGCTTGCTTGCTTGCTTGCTTGCTTGCTTGCTTGCTTGCTTGCTTGCTTGCTTGGTTGCTTCGTGGGTTGGGTGGCTCGGGTGGGTTGGTTAAATGTTTGGTTGTTGTTTTGGGTGGATGGTGGAATGGGCGTTGCGGCAGGCAGCTTGCCAAAGGCTTGGAGGAGGACTCCAGAAGGCCGAGGGATGATTTGTTCGCCCTGGTTGCAGGGTGTCATGAATCGCTTGTCTACACACATAGACATGGCAAACTTTGGGAGGCTCAGCCCTCTGCCCACTGGAAAACGCTACTGATTTGAGGGAGCAAGTGAGGGGAATAGACAAGGTTTTTGGGCGGCACAGCCTTGTCAAAGCGGGATACATCTCAACAGAGATTTGGGGATCCACCGAGCACTTTTTGGAGTATCAAACCGACTGTGCAATTCCTTTGCTCCCCTTTGATCACCTCCTCTGGCTGATGCTGTCCCCTGGTCTCGTCTCCCATTCTACTCACTCCCATGCTCTCGGTTTGGTCCCAAGCGTGGTCTGAGTCGCAGAACTCAGAACCGTGTTTTTCTTCGGAAGCGGGCACCGGTTCAGCAAGGACGGACACCGATTCATTGTTCACTTTCGTTCTCGGCATCGACTCCCAACGGCGCCATTCCCGTGCCGCAGGCGTGCCACCATGATGATGGAGCTGGTGGAGAAGGCCTCCCAAGCCTCCGTTTTTTGGAGGGCGCACTTTTTGGTGGCTTTCAATGGGAAACCAAGAGGAACATCACCATTTGAGGGTCCCCTAAAAAGAAGACACACTCATATCAGGGACAACACACACACACACACACATGAAATTCATCATCCACTCGAACTTTTGCTTTGAGGATCCGGCTTCTTTGTACTTTGGGATATTACAGCCTTTCTGACAGTTCTTTGGCACACAGCGACACATTGATTGTCTTGGGCACATGAGTCACCGGAAGAGAGCAACAATGCTGGTAGCTGGGGCTGTCTCGCAAAAACAATCAAATGAGGCTTTGCTCTCTCAGGTTACAAGAAGCAGCACAGCACGGCGCTCGACATCAGCCCCGATGTTCGCAATGGGAAGCGGATGCCAGAGTCAGCTTGCCCACCTCGCAGTTGATCTTCATTGTTGCAGCCCCCCCCCCAAACAACGACAACCCCTCCCCCCCCACACCCTGTTTGGTGAGGTCAAAAGGTCAGTCAGACTCTTGAGGCTAGCCAGCTGTCCAACGAGCTCGCGAACGCGACCTCTGCGATACAGGCCGCCGGTTTGGCCCCCGGCCCTCATGCTCTGAAGTGGCAAACGCGGAGGTTTTTCCCGAGCGAAATGGTGGCTTGGAAAAAACAGCAACAGCCAATCCCACAAAAACATTAAGCACTCCGAAACTGCCACCATTTCACGGGTTTTTTGGGACCTTCTTTCCCTCGCCAGGGTCAGACGGCTGACTGGTCGACTTTATCCAGGCAGATCCGTTCAGAGGTGAATGGCCTGGCCGCTGAGATGAAGGCCACTGAGAGGGAGATGCAGCGAATCGAGCCCTTTTTGCTCATAATTCTCACCGTTGTGGGGGTTCCAGTGAGAAACAACCAGGAGTGGGGGGGCGGGGTGACTCTGAACACGGTAGAGGAATGGGGCCAGTTGGGCGTACAGCAAAAGGGGAACGGCTTACTTGCTCTGCCAGGGTCCTTTTGACCGCTCTACCTCTTGTAGGGATGGTAGGGATGGTCCTTGGAGGAGAACCTCCCACACGCTTGGTGGACATAGGTTTCCAAGCCATGTTGCGTCCTCGTTGCTGGTGCACATGAGCTACGGTCAATAGTCGCCAATTAGTCAACCGCATGGGGAGCACGCTCGCCATATACCAGGCAAACATGATGGTTACGGTTTTGCAAAGTCCAAAGTCATTCAGGTATGGGTCAAAATTACTCTGCCAGGGCACCGCAGGTTTTAGTCCTTGTTTGCATTTACCAGGGTTTCATTTTGGGGTTACCCTAGGTCTGATCCACAACCATTTGATGTCTTACTCACCGTGTCATTGAGACTCGAAGCGTCTGACGAATCCCGTGCCTGCCGCCAGGCTGAGCGCGATGCTCGAGCTTTGGAAGCCTCCACACAGAGAGTCGAAATCTTGAAGCCAGGGACCAAGGCAGGCGAGAAAGACGCACGCCTAGCTCAGGTCGTGAGCAATGTCATCACTGGTTGGATATCTTGAGTGTTTGCTTGTTCTTTTGCGTGGTGGATGAAGTTCTTGTTCGCTGGCCGCTTGGTGTCTTTCATTGATCCGTGATCGAGAGGAAGCCTGGCGCATATTTGGTGGTCACTGGGTTTTCCACTTTTCCGCGGGCAAACGAAAAAGGCCACTGTCTTGTCCTGGCGCCCGAGGATGTTGGAAGACTCCCGACGACAAGGTGTGTGAGGCCAAGTCGTGTGCGAGAGGCACCATGACTTGGTACCCGCGATTCATGGAAGACCCGCACGGCTGGGCCTGTGATTGTGGTAGGCCGGGCTCAACCATATGCAAAGCCTAGAGGTAGATACCTAGCTGCATGTGTTGCAGTCCAACGGTAACAAGTTGCCCTAGAACAAGTTGCTAACAAGCACCCACAACGCATGGGGAAATTCCAGGGTGTTCCTTGCGCAAAATTCGGGGCATCAGCTGGAACTGCTGAGGCTTTGGAGGCTATGGGGATCAGAGACACTGGCATGAGCGAGATTCAGATGCTACACGGTGCGCAGGAGCCATTCGCGTTTCCTCGGAATGGGGTGGGGATTGGGTTTGCTGAAAAGTTTGGTATTTGTGTCTCTATCAGCTTGACAGCTCGCGAATCTTTTCCCTGGCATTCTCCTGCAGCTTTGATTTGTCCTTCTTGCGATTTCAGGGCGGGCCCTTGCTTCAATGAAACAGTGGAGGACCCGCCCCAAAAAATAACACGAAACGAAAGAAAGTGGTTTTCTCTTGGGCTTCCCTACACCCACCGCATGTTTGGGTGCCACAAAAGACACAAACCAACAAGCAGCAAGCAAGCCAGCCAGCCAGCAAGCAAGCAAGCAAGCAAGCAAGCAAGCAAGCAAGCAAGCAAGCACGCACATACCCACCCACGCACCCACCGCGCACCCACACGCCCATTCACGCACGCAGGCAGGCGCGCGCGCGCTCACACCCAACCACAAAGCCCCACCCACCCACCTGCCAACCCAACACCACACACCACACCACACACCACACCACACCCCACACCACCCCACACCACGCCACACCACACCCCACACCCCACACCACCACCCCACCCCCCCCCTCCCCACCCCACCCCACACCCCACCCCACCCCACCCCACCCCACCCCACCCCACCCCACCCCACCCCACCCCACTCACCGACCCACGCACACACACACACAAACACGCAGACACGCAGACACGCAGACGTGCAGACACGCAGACACCCGCAGAGACACAGAGACGCAGAGACGCAGAGACGCAGAGACGCAGAGACGCAGAGACGCAGAGACGCAGACACGCACACGCACACGCACACGCACACGCACACGCGCACACGCGCACACGCGCACACGCGCACACGCGCACACGCGCACACGCGCACACGCGCACACGCGCACACGCGCACACGCGCACACGCGCACTCGCGCACACGCGCACACGCGCACACGCGCACACGCGCACACGCGCACACGCGCACACGCGCACACGCGCACACGCGCACACGCGCACACGCGCACACGCGCACACGCGCACACACGCACACACACACACACACACACACACACACACACACACACACACACACACACACACACACACACACACACACACACACGCACACACACACACACACACACACACACACACACACACACACACACACACACACACACACACACACACACACACACACACACACACACACACACACACACGCGCACGCACGCGCCCACGCACGCAACCACCCACGCCTGCCACCGCGCCCGCATACGCCGCGCCCGCGCCGCACCCGCACCCGCCACGCCCGCACCCACCCCACACCACACCCACCCGCCCCACGCCACGCCCACGCCACGCCGCACCCGCACCGCGCCACCACCTTGCGCCCGCACCCGCGCCGCACCCGCCCCACGCCCCCGCCACGCCCGCCGCCCACGCCACGCCCGCACCCGCCGCGCCCGCGCCCCGCCACCCGCGCCACGCACCACGCCACGCCCGCGCCCGCCCGCCCGCACCACGCCCGCGCCACGCCGCCACGCCCGCACCGCACCACGCCCGCCACGCGCATACGCACGCTGGCGCGTACGCGCGTACACCGCTTGCGCACCACGCACGCGCGCGCACGCGCGCCGCGCGCACGCGCGCGCGCGCGCACACGCACGCACCACATACCACCATGCTGCACACCTGCCTGCCTTACCTTGCACTGCGCTGCGCGCCACGCCACGCCACGCCCGCCCATACGCCACGCCACGCCACGCCCGCCATACGCGCACGCGCGCAACGCGCGCCTCGCCTCATGCCTGCCAGCAACGCTGCAGATGCGCAGCAGCGCAGCGTCTTATGCGCGCCGCCAGTTATTCTACGCGCGCGCGCTGCGCCAGCGCGCTGCTGCTGCACATACCTTGCGCTTCACTGCGTGCCCCGACCGCGCCTTGTGCCGGCACATGCTGCATACTGCCCGTACCTTGCCAACAACCTGCGTACTGCAACCTGCCATGCATGCTGCCGCCGCAGCACCTTCACCACCTTACCATAACGCGGCGACGCGGTGGCGCCAGCCTGACGTGCTACGTGCATGCGTCCGTGCGTGCCACGTCCACGCGACGCGGCGCGACATCGCATTGCATCGCGGTAACTCAACGGTACGCGCGCGCGCCCCCATTGCCGCTTTGGCCACCGTACCGCTTTGCTTCACTTTGTTCCGTTTCCACTTCACGTGCGCGCGGCGCGTGCCAGCGCCTGCGTATACGCAGCGCGGCGCGGCAGCGCTGTGCGCGGCGGCAGCAGCGCGGCGGCGCCAGATGCGCGCGCGCCAGCGCGCCCGCGCGCCAAGCGCGCGCCCGCGCGCCAGCCCCGCCGCCCTTGCGCCAACGCGACATCGCCGCAACGCATATGGTATGCAACTGCGACGTGCCATGCCCTGGACGCTGCCTTGCGCGCGCGCACCCATGCCTTGCGACACTGCAACATTACTGCCTTGCGGTAACGCCTTATTCGTATGACAATAACGACGCTGCGCCGTGTGTGCGATACATATGCCGGTAACAACAGCCAACGCGGCAACGTTATGCCAACGGTAGCTGTGCCTTTATGTGCCAGTAACGGTATTGCCAACAACGACAACATGACAACAACGGTAATATGCGTGACCGCGGTAACGGCCCTTGTGCGGCCAGCAGCCTTGCGTGCGGCGCGCGCGGCGCGTGCGACGTGCGCCCACTGCGCCACCCGCGCCACGCGCGACGCGCCCGCGCCACCCGCGCCACGCCGCCCGCGCGCCCGCACGCCACGCGCCCACCTTTCCACGCCCGCCGCCGCCACGCCGCACGCCCGCGCCACACGCACGCCCGCCCGCGCGCCACGCGCCACGCGCCCGCGCGCCCACGCGCCACGGCGCCGCGCGCCCGCCCGCACGCGCGCCCACGCGCCACGCGCCGCATACGCGCGCCAGCGCCCACGCCACGCGCCACGCGCCACGCGCCCGCGCGCCGCGGCACCACGGCGCCCGCGCGCCGCGCCGCGACGCCACGCGCCTTCGCGCCACGCGCCCGCGCCCGCGCGCGCCGCGCGCCCACGCGCCGCGCCCGCGGCGCCCGCGGCGCCCGCGCCAGCGACGCCGCGCGCCCACGCGCCGCGCCACCGCGCCCGCACGCCGATCGCCCGCGCGCCGAATCGCCCGCGTCGCCCGCGCCCACGCGCCCGCGCCGCACCGCGCCCGCGCCCGCACGCCCACGCGCCCGCCGCGCCCGCCGCGCCGCGCCGCGCCACCGCGCCCGCGCCACCCGCCCGCGCGCCCACGCGCCCGCGCGCCACGCGCCCCCGCGCTCACGCGCCCGCCACGCGCCCGCGCGCCACGCCCGCGCCCACGCGCCGCGCCACGCCCGCCGCATACCGCCACGCCGCACGCTGCCGCGCGCCCACGCCCACGCCCACACGCCACACCTGCGCCACACGCCCACCGCGCCACGCCACCCGCGCCCGCCACCACACGCCCACCATACCCACACACCCACACACCCACACACCCACCCACACACCCACACACACCCACCTGCCCACACACCCACACCACACACCCACCCACACCCCCACACACCCCTACATACACACACACACCCCCACACCCCCACCCCCACACCCCCACCCCCACACCCCACACCCCACCCCCACACCCCTACACACACCCACACCCCCACATACACCCCACCCCACCCCACACCCCACCCCACCCCCACACCCCACACCCCCACACCCCCACACCCCACACCCCCACACCCACGCACGCACGCACGCACGCACGCACGCACGCACGCACGCACACGCACACGCACGCACGCACGCACGCACGCACGCACACACACACACACACACACACACACACACACACACACACACACACACACACACACACACACACACACACACACACACACACACACACACACACACACACACACACACACACACACACACACACACACACACACACACACACACACACACACACACACACACACACACCAACACAGACACACCAACACAGACACACCAACACAGAACACACCAACACAGACACACCAACTTTGAATACACCAACACAGACACCAACACAGACACACCAACATAAACACTACCAACACAGACACACCAACACAGACACCAACACAGACACACCAACACAGACACACACCAACACCAGTACACCAACACAGACACACCAACACACACACAACACACACACACCAACACACACACACCAACACACACACACACCAACACACACACCATACACATACACCAACACACACACCAACACACACCAACACACAGACCAACACACAGACCAACACACAGACCAACACACAGACCAACACACAGACCAACACACCATAACACACACATTGTTGCGCCGCCGACGCGCACTGACGCGCGCCTGTTGCGCGCGCCGCAGACCGCGCGCCTTGTTGCCGCAGACGCGCGCCTGACGCGC